TCAGACCCTGAGCAACGAACTACACCCACCCCTACGCCGCCCAGCCCTAAACCCCTAGACTGCATAATAGGAGTAGTCAAAACAAAAGCAAAAGTCGCGCCGCTCTGTTCTAATACAGAAAGACAGCATCGACAACAGCAGCCATAGACGCTCTAATCAGAGTGCCCGACTGGCAAAGAGTGTCAGCACAGTGATTATGGTTTTTTTTGGCTTCCACACATGCAGAAAACAAATCCTAGAAAAAAAACTTTAAAAAGAAAACACACACACACACACACACACACACACACACACACACACACACACACACACACACACACACACACACACACACACACACACACACACACACAGCACACACACACACACACACACACACACACACACACACAACACAACACACACACACACACACACACACACACACACACACACACACACACACACACACACACACACACACACACACACACACACACACACACACACACACACACACACACACACACACACACACACACACACACACACACACACACGCACAACTTTCGGGAACTCTCCAATCAGAGGGACCAACATTGCAAGAGTCCCAGGACATCTGTTTTCTGGCTGATTCTTGTTGTCTTTGGCTAGCTTTGTTTTCATATCTTGCGTGTTTTTGTAGTGCTTCTCACGGACAAGTGGGGCACCGTGGGAAGGAGTTGCGGAAAAGTGCATTCCCAGGCCCGTCCAGGGTCCCCAATGTTGTAAGATTGACAGCTCCATGTTGCACCCGAGCCCTGACTACATCTCGAACCCTACCTCCCCAAATGCCCAAAAAATGGCTGCGCCTGAGATGCCATTGCACGGACACAGCGGCCTGGCAAGCTTCAAGAGGCTCATTTCCCAGAATGGGGACACCCCTGAAGATATCTTTAATATTACGATCACCCTTATCATTCGCAACCCCAACAAGGCAAAAGGGTACCATCTGTTCTGGGAAGCCGCCCCCCCCCCCCCTATGGATTTGGGGTTGAGGGTCTTCTGCTTTAGGGCTGATGTAAAAGGCTTGTTGGGCGCAGCGTCGTCGATGAACACAAAAAAGGCAGCGATGGGCAGGGCTTAGGGTTTAGGGCTTAGGGGTTAGGGCTTAGGGTTTAGGGTCTGGGGTTTGGGGTTTAGGGTTTAGGGTTTAGCTGAAGAGCTTGGGGCCTTGACAGCTGGGCTGCGCTGCCCCCGCAGCGAAGGATCACGATGGGAGTAGGGAGCACATTGCCTGCGAGGCTGAGCCATAATAGCTAAACGAAATTAAGAGCGATTGATAGTAAAACCATGAAGAGCAAACAATCAATAGCAACGACTGGTAATTGCCATTCATAGTAACAAATATCAATTTATAAGAACTCATTGCAATTCATAGTGCTTCATAGTACTTCATAGCAATTCATTGCCGGCATAGTCAATCACAGTAATTAATAAATAGCCATAGATCATAAAAAGTAAAAGCAAGCCTGCACCAAAGCCTTGAAACCTCCCACCGGCCCTGGGGGCCCCCTTGGCCCACCTCAGCATGGGCTGCTCCGCAGCCTGACATGAGGCTGCGTTTAGGGTTTAGGGTTTAGGGTTTGGGGTTTGGGGTTTAGGGTTTAGGGTTTGGGGTTTGGGGTTTAGGGTTTCTGGCATGAATCCCGAGAGCATGTGCGAGCACTTGCCACAACCCATAAACTAGCAAAAGTCATCATTGGGGGGGGGCTCTGCACCCTGACCCAAGGAAGTTCCCAATCCTGATCCTTTATGCGACCGGTGTCCCGCAAGCGAGCAGGCGCGTCCTTTGCATGGAAATCTGGATTGGGTAAACCTGCACAGCTCCCAACATGCTCAAGGGTCGCATGAGGCAAAAGTGATCACAACAAAGGGGCAAAGCTTATAGACAAACTGGTGCCCAGACCGCCTTCACGTGGATGCCAACGCCACCACTGCCAGTACTTGGGCCGTTGGCTGAGAAATGGCACGCGCCATGTCAATGTGAAGCTACATCCTAAACCCTAAACAGGGCATCTCAGGGAGCAGGGGAGTTACAACATCCATACAAGTGCAATTTTCCGTCAGCCCGTCCCCCGGATGAAACTCTTGCCTAGCCGAAATGAGCGTCTCAGTAGGTGGCCACCTTCTTGGACTGGGCCAGGTAGTCGGTGAACTCCTGGAAGGGTGAGTTCGTGAACCGGGTCGCCGTCCACAGGTCCGGGGTGAGGTAGCCATAGGTGGCTTTCAGCGCCTCGAACGTGGCCTTGGCGAAGTTCGCTGTCGTCCTGGTGTGTCCGCAGGAGCAGGTGAAGCAGTCAGAGATGCCGGCGAAGGCCATCATCTTCTTCATGACTGGCGAGCCCACGATGCCGGAGCCGCGCGGAGCGGGGATCAGCCGCGCCCGCACGGAGCCGCACTTTCCGTGCACCTTCATGGGCACGGTGTGGGGCAAGCCGATCCTGTTCCCCCAGAATCCTCGTCGAACGGGGATCAGGTTCAGCTTGGCTGCAATGATACCACCGCGGATGGCTGTTGCTACCTCCTTTGCACACTTGGACCCCAGACCGATGTGGCCGTTGGTGTCGCCCACCAACACGTAGCAGACAAATCTGTTCGTCTGACCGGCGGAGGTCATCTTCTGCACTGGGTGGATCTTCAGCACCTCATCCTTCAAGCTTCCAGGAGGGTAGAAGTGGTCAATGATCTCGGGCTCCTTGATCGGCAGGGAGTGCAGGTAGATGTCCTCCAGCTGGTTGATCTTGTTGTCGTTAACAAGACGTCCCAGCTTGGTCATCGGAACCCATTGCTTCTCCTCCTGCTTTCCCTTGCCCTTTCCCTTGCCCTTGCCCTTCTTGCCCTTGCCCTTTCCTTTGTCTCCAAAGCCTCCCTTGCCGAACCCGCCTTCTCCTCCCATGCGTCGTTCGGGCCTCGGCCGGTGCTTTTGGGGAGGCTTCGGGGTTGAGGCCCTGAATTTCGAGCAACGCACGAGCCCTTTGAGCCCTTTACACCTCTAGTGGCCCTTCACGGTCTCGGGGTCCGGGCCCGGCTGGCAAAGGTGGTCGAACTCTCGGGGATCAGGCTGAGGCCAGCCGCTGCGGGAGACACAGGGTTGCTGGGGTTATAAGGTCTGGGATCTAGGGTCTGACAAACGTGAGTGGGGTATGTGGGGACCCAGATTGGGGTGAGAGGGCCTAGGCGGCTGTGTGAGCTTCGGGGTCTCGGGTCAGTTCTAAAGGCTTCGATGGAGCCTCAAAGCTTGAAGGGCTCCGGATTTTGGAGTGAAAAGAACTTGGGAGTCACGTAGAGGGCTATAAAAATAGGAAGAAGGCTGAACTGATATACTAACCTCAGGACTCATCGCGCGTCGTCGTCTGCATCCTTCGATTGGTTGTGAATCTTGTGATCCATCATACCTACGCTTTGACAACTAGAGACCTACCGACTTGAAGGCGTAGGAGCTAAAAGGCTGTGACAATCTTCAAATGCGCAATTGCAAACGAAGTGGGTCTAAGGCCAGAAAGATGCGGTGATCAGCTTTTCTCTTTGAACGCACGATACTTGGGCTTTACACTGCTTCTAGGGTGAAAAGGGCGAGGCTCAATAGGTGGCCACCTTCTTGGACTGAGCCAGGTAGTCGGTGAACTCCTGGAAGGGTGAGTTCGTGAACCGGGTCGCCGTCCACAGGTCCGGGGTGAGGTAGCCATAGGTGGCTTTCAGCGCCTCGAACGTGGCCTTGGCGAAGTTCGCTGTCGTCCTGGTGTGTCCGCAGGAGCAGGTGAAGCAGTCAGAGATGCCGGCGAAGGCCATCATCTTCTTCATGACTGGCGAGCCCACGATGCCGGAGCCGCGCGGAGCGGGGATCAGCCGCGCCCGCACGGAGCCGCACTTTCCGTGCACCTTCATGGGCACGGTGTGGGGCAAGCCGATCCTGTTCCCCCAGAATCCTCGTCGAACGGGGATCAGGTTCAGCTTGGCTGCAATGATACCACCGCGGATGGCTGTTGCTACCTCCTTTGCACACTTGGACCCCAGACCGATGTGGCCGTTGGTGTCGCCCACCAACACGTAGCAGACAAATCTGTTCGTCTGACCGGCGGAGGTCATCTTCTGCACTGGGTGGATCTTCAGCACCTCATCCTTCAAGCTTCCAGGAGGGTAGAAGTGGTCAATGATCTCGGGCTCCTTGATCGGCAGGGAGTGCAGGTAGATGTCCTCCAGCTGGTTGATCTTGTTGTCGTTAACAAGACGTCCCAGCTTGGTCATCGGAACCCATTGCTTCTCCTCCTGCTTTCCCTTGCCCTTTCCCTTGCCCTTGCCCTTCTTGCCCTTGCCCTTTCCTTTGTCTCCAAAGCCTCCCTTGCCGAACCCGCCTTCTCCTCCCATGCGTCGTTCGGGCCTCGGCCAGGGAAGAGTTGCATCTTCTTGCAGTGCCCATCACATACATCCAAACAAAAGCTATATGGAAACTTGCTGGGGCACCTGCTTCCAAGCCAGTGCGGAGGTGTTTTGGCCCAATATCTGCAACTACCGGAGCCTGAACGGAGGTCAGCAAAATTCAGGACATCGCCATGCTGTGTGACCGTGTCAGCAGCATGTGCGCAAACAATGATCACAGACCACAAGCTTTTTTAACTTCTTACGGATCCAGATTGACAGAGTCGGACATGCAACATGTGCAACACCAGGCAGTGGCCCCACGCAGCTCTCAACCAGGTCCGTATCTCGTGTTCAAGAACTGATGCAAATTTCAATGCGGGTTACCCATGTTCACGAACTCCTGACTATTCAGCAGACGCATGTTTTGGTTCGAGCCATCCACTTGCTTCGTTAACTTCTTGTAGCAAGTTGCCGCCCTACTCTCGGTTTCCGAGGATGGCTGTAAACATCTTGCAAAAGCGCGCTGAGAACTGATCCCGGCAGCAGCAAAATCGATACTCACAAGACCCAAGCGGTCTGAGGTGAGACAGGTGAGGTACCAACGTACCCACAAGTCCTCCTCAGAGCTTGAACTCCTCTCCGACCGCCTTCTCTGAGGCTTCCCAGAGGGCCTTCGCGACTGCCTCATCGTAGGCCATGGGGTTCGCGTTGGTCGTCTTGATGGGCGCACCCGTGCGACCCTCAGCAGGACCGTAGTAGGCCCCGCCCTCGCAAAGCGTCGGGTGCGCCACGGCCATGACCAGAGGCAGGGATCCGTCCGCGCAAGACTGGCCGCCCTTCTGGTAGCCGGCCCCGTCCTTCATGCCCCCGCCCTTCTGGGTGGTGATCTGCAAGTTGGTGGCGGCCAGGCCCGGGTGGCAGGAGCTGGACTTCATCTTCTCCCCCAAGCCCGCGGCCTTGAGCCTCCTCTGGAGCTCATTGGCAAAGAGCACGTTGGCCAGCTTGGACTGGCCATACCGGGCCCAGTGCCCGGTGGTGCCTCCCAGAACGAAGGGTGCCAGGTAGAGCAGCAGGCCGTGGGAGGGATGCGGGTTGTTCAGGTCGCTGGTGTCCACCGTGGGCCCGCCCTTCTCCGAGGCGCCAGAGGAGACCTGCGTCAGGGTGACGTCGCCGTACCTATACTCCCCTTAGAACCTTAATAAAAGCATATCTTTTAATATCCTCTTGGGGTTTCATATAAACAAAAAAATATTTCCCAAGGGGGATAGAGGCACTTCTCGGCCGTCGACTTGAGGAGGGGCCAGAGCCGGGCGGTCATCAGGAAGTGGCTGAGGTGGTTCGTCTGGATCTGGATGTCGTAGCCATCCTTAGTCATCTGGACGTCCAGCCCCATGACGCCCGCGTTGTTGCACACGATGTCCAGGCGATCGTACTGCTTCTTGAACTCCTCTGCGAAGCTGCGGACACTCTCGAAGTCGCAGTTGTCCATCTTCATGACCGCGATGGGCTTGGCCGAGGCGCCCTCCTCCTTGAGCTTCGCCTCCAGGTCCGCCTTCACCGCGTTGCCCTTCTCCACGTTCCGCACGGTGATGACGCACTGGGCGCCCCTGGCAGCCAGGGCCTTCGTGGCGTAGAAGCCCAGGCCCGAGGACGTGGAGACGCCGGTGATCAGCGCCACGCGCCCGGAGAGGTCCTGTGGTTGTGAGCGGAGCCTTTGGACTCCTTGTTTCTTTCAGATGTGTTCTTCTTGGGTGGAGGAGGGGTGTGCGCCCGCTTTGGGGCGGACGGCTACGGTATAAAATAGAAAAGCGCGTGTATCCACAACGTCCTTGATGTTCTCAGGGTTCTTGATCCACTCTGGGTAGTACTTGTCCTCGAGCTGCGTTGGGCCAGCGACGTCCGCGCTCTGGGAGGAACTGGAACCCATGTTATCCAACGACTTTAACTTCTCAAGCGGTCGAAGTGCAGAAAATGCTACAAATTGCTGCAACGAGCCGAGACATCGGAACAGAATGGAACAGAAGCAGATGGGTAACGAGCTGTTTGTTGAGACAGCAACTTGTGTCAAGGCTTGCTTTCGTACTTTTTCCGGACTGCCACTCAGTCATCTTCGAGCGGGTAACCTGAGAGGGCTGCACACGGCTGCACTGTGCTGCTCCAAATGCCATTAACGGTTAACGTGCGCAAGGACAAATGCAGCGGATGCGGAGGGCCATGCAGAGCCTCGCAGAGATGCAAGAAGAATCGCGGAACAATTGCAGAACAAGCGACCGGCTTCAGGCCCGCTTCTTCTGCAGGACGTGCCGGGCGGCGGCAGGGATTCTGCCACATCTCGCAGGCGCGTGACGGCATCCGAGAATGCCTGCTCGGACATCGAGGCGCCAGCAGCCGCCCCTCCCCAGCTCCTAAACCTCCACCGGCCTGGAGCTTCTCGAGGGACTCCAGGAGCGCGTCGGACATGTGCTCCAGGTCGTCGCCAACCGTGAAGCCAACCCTGGCAAGAGAAGGAAAAACCCTCACCGGCGCAGAGGTGCGCTACGAAACCCTAAACCCTAAACCCCAAAATCCTAAACCCTAAACCCTAAATGATCCGACTGCAAGCTGGAAGGGAGGCCAGCAGCACCGCTCCAGAAGATCGGCATATCGCTCGCAGTTCTCACTGAGGATCTGGGTGCACTGCTGAAGGACCTGCCATAGAACCCCTGCCCAAAACCATAAGCAACCAAAACGTTGAGCCCTCGACTTCCCGAGACACACATACACACCATTACACACCCCCTCCACATGTTTGCGACTGCATGGTCAATTTGATCTTCCTATGGCTCCCAAGATTTCCAAGTATCCTCAGCCGAAGTTCCTCCCCTTAAACCCTTAAACCCTTAAACCCTTAAACCCTTGAACCCTTGAACCCTTGAACCCTTAACCCTTAAACCCTTAAACCCTTAAACCCCTAAAAGAGTTTCGTGGAAGCGTCGGCGGGCTGGCCGCGATCTCCACGGCGGCGGCCGCTCGGGCCTCCGGTGATGCCCTGGCCTGTGCGGCCTGGCCACCAGAGGCTTCACATGGGTAGGGTTTAGGGTTTCGGGCTTAGGGCTTAGGGTTTAGGGTTTAGGGTTTAGGGTTTAGGGTCTAGAACCTCAATAATTAAGAATGTTTGAAAGCCTTTGTTAAGGAATTGCATTACTGGCAGTTGAGGGCTTCTCGGCTGGGGCGGGTGGCAAGGAGCTCTTCGAGACGCACCTGGGACTCCTTCCTTGCTGACAGAAGGCAAACAGCTGCTGCGCTGAGCTCTCAAGGAGTGGGGGCCCAGAGTCTTGGCCCGTGAGCCGTGAGCCCTAGCCGCAGCTGCTCTCTAAAGTCCAAACACAATTCTCAAGGCATCTCCAGCCCCTGCCACCACTTGGCATCTACGTAGATTTGACCTCTCACGACAGATGCAAGGCTGGCGATCGGTGCCTGTGCTCCGCCCAGCCGCTTGCCGAGCCGCGAAACGCCTGGGGAGTGCTTCAAGCGGTGACAATGAAAGGGTTCTCCCAAAAAGAATCGACGTGCTTGGCCAAAAGCACTGCTACACCACAATGTCTGCTATTGGTACATCCATACTGCTGCGGCAGCTGCCCATGCTTAGCATTGAAGTCACTGAGGGTCCGGCGGGCCCGCACGGATGCTGGAGTGTCCAACAAATACCGCAAGTGCACCGCCTGCCGCACTGCAGGCAACACGTATCCTTCGTCTTGGAAGCGCTCAAGCAACAAAGCAAAGTCAACCCTGCCCAAGAGAACCCAACGCCCAAACACAAACAAACAGCACACAACCAAAATTCACTGCGGCACTCCACTGCTGAAGAAGAGCCATTCGGAGAGTTCTCCAGGGCTTCGGAATTGGGTTCAAGGCACTTGGTCTAGGGCTAAAGGGGTCGAAAGTTGAGGATTCAAGCTTCCGTGGGCGAAAGGGGAATTCTGGATTTTGAAACAGGTGCGCTGCCCGGCCCGGAGGAGCGACTCGCTACATCGCCGCTGTGTCAAACAGACGCGACCTTGCCATTGGCAGTGGTGACTAAACTGAAACCCTCCGCACGCGACACTTACAGCAAAGGCCAGGCCAGTGCAGCATTCCTAGACTCGTCTCCGAGGCCACTGCTACAGTCTTGCAGATGCTACAGTTGCAGTTAGGCGGTTAGAGAAGCGCTTTTGCCCGTGGCCCGAACGAATCTCCAACCACTCCAGCATGGGCAGCACCTGTGTGAGGTGGCAAGTATGCGATGGAAGGGTTCCTTCCTTTTTAAACCCCCCCGCTCATGACGCTGCGAAGCTTAACCTTTGCAAGTTTCAGGCCTGGGCTGCATCAGTTCTTCACAGGAGGTATAGTTTTAGAGATATCGTTTTTCGCTTTCCAGTTCCTCAACATATGTCCAGATAGCGTCGAACGCTTCACGAATGGGGAAAGGGCCTGCGGCAACAGTGTGGAAAACTCAATGCTGTCGGGCATGGCTCGAAGGGCTGACTCCCTTGCCCGAGAAAGGGGTGCCAATGCAATGTTTCTACGATTGTTAGACCGACAGCTTTGTTTTAGGCTCTACGAGGGTATGTTCACTTCTTTCCTGCGCGCCAAGCTCGGAAGTTACCACTATCATAGATGCGCCACAGCATGTCTGTGACTGTCGCCATCGTCAAAGCCAATGGCTGCTGTGCACATCACCGAAATCAAGTTACATGATCTTGGACTCAACTGCCATCTAGCCACACATTCCGCCGCAAGGTTCGAAGAGCCCTTTTCTTCGACGGAAGCACCGCGCACGTGTGCTGTCACTTTAAAAGCACCTCTTCCTGTCATTGCACCGGAGAGGGCAGCAGCGGCGCCTCACAATGCAAGCAGAGCACCGCTGGTTTGGGAGCCTGCTTTGCCCAACCCCCTCCCTGGCATATGTCATGAGAGGACAGTACAGCTTAATTTGTCTGGCCTTTCTGTTTTTGCGTGGGTGGCAGCGAAACGCTCACGCAACTAAGCCTATCCAGCATGCGCAGGTCACTCACATGCATGCCGGCAAGCTGGCATCCGTATAGGTACAAACGTGCTTGTGCAGGTGTGTGTGTGTGTGTACACTTTATATTAAAAAGTGTTAATACACAAAACTATATATGAACGCGCGTGGAAGCATGTCCATGCAAGCTGTGTGGCAGTACATAGGCAAGCATTTTCGCGTGTAGGTGTGCATGCACAAGGAGCGCGTGTTCGAGCAAACAAAGTGCAAGCCAGCATCGAGCAAGCAAGTGAACCTGCAAGGGATGTGGCGTGTTGGACCGGGTCCTCTGCTGTGCTCACGTGCATGCAAGCACGCGTAATCAAGCGTGTCCGTAAGCAAGCACACGTGGATGCCAAGGGGGACCTGATTCTTCCAGCCAGGTGTTGAGTGGGGTTCATGTAGGGGTCCCTGTTGAAGCCGCAGCCCCAAAGCCCACCATACCCCAACAAAACCCATAGATTGCACAGTTTCGAAGAGCCCTAGTGACGAATGTTGCGGAATCCCATATCTTGCATAGGTTTAAGAGGGGAAGTGAGTAGCGGGTTCTCGGTGTGTTATGGCGCGTATCGAAAAAAGTTCTCACGCGTCTTATCTTAGTCAACTCTTGAAGCGCACCTGTGATACTGATGGCCGGCTGGGTGAGGCGGGCCACCTTTGGCAGACATTAGCGTTTAGGGTTTGAGGGTGCAGCGGGCTTCAGGTTAAGGGCTTTGGGTTTAGGGATTGGGGTTTAGGATGTAGTCATTTAGGGGTTTAGGTTTAGGGTTTAAGGGTCGAAAGGGGCTTAGGGTTTAGGCTGTTAGTCTGCTGCATGGAGTACCGGGTTCTGACGGCTAAAGATTGGCCTGGCTGCAACAAGCTGAAGGCTTGGAAGAAAACTGCTGTTGAGCTTCCGAAGGACCCGGCGCCTATCCCGAAACTGCTTACGGTTTGAAGAGCCAGCACACGATTGGCGCCACATCCGTTTCACATCCAATGAGTTGACAAGTTGAAGGATCTATGATGGCAGCATTTGGCGCCTCAATGCGGCTTGGCAGAGGGAAAATATGCAGCGGCTGCGGCTTAATTATCGCATAGAAACAGGCATTAGATAGAGCGTCCACACGTGGTCAAACCTTCGCAAGCCATGAAAACTTGAACTTTGCAGCCCCAAATCCCAAACCCCACACGCTTAACTTAGCCCCTTGGACCCCAACCCCCAGGTCCGAAACACCAAGCCCTAAACCGAAAAAACACCTAAGACATCAACTCCTGAACCACCACACGCTAAGCCGGCTTAAAGCCGCCCGGACCTTGGAGGGAGATGGTCCTCTGTCTGGGAGGTCCCTTCTTTCATACATATCTTGTACAGGTTTCAGGCAAAGGGGGGGGGTGGGGGTGGTGGGCTCTGCGTTTAAGGACAAGAAGGAAGTGAATCGCGGACTCTCCGCAGACTTTTGCGCATATCAAAAACACTTCTCGCACGTCTCCTTGTAGTCTTTTGCAATAGAAGCTCTCGAATCAACGAGTATTCTCGGATAAAGGGCATTCTTTCGTGAACGTGCTCTCTAGAATGGGCCTTCTTGTAAATAACTTGGAGGAGGTGAGGAGGATGGTCTCTTACTTTCAACGAAACTGGAGGAGGTGAAGAGGATGGTATTCTGCAGTATGAGAGGAAGAAATACATCTTCAGAAGGGTTCTCTGTGAGTTATAACACGTACCAAAAGCTGTCGTACTTCGTGCAAGTCTTGCGCGGAATTGTTGTGTGAAGTCGAATTAACAAACACAACAGAAACTCCCGCAAATAGTTCTTCAGTTAAAGGCAAGAAAGGTAAACACAAACAGCCACAGGAATAAAAAAGCATTTTTTTTTCGTGAAATGGCTCTTGGTACCTCTCAAAAACAGGCGCGGGAGGTGGGGGCGGGGGGGGGGGGGGGGGGGGGTGGCTACAAAGGATGCAGGTGAAATGGTCTTCTTTTTTGCATTCAGAGCGCTGAGGGGAATGAGGGGCCTCTCTGGCATTGGCAGGCGTGTCCCAGTGACTATATGACTATATGACTATATGACTATATGACTATATAACTATATACCTATATCACTATATAACTAGATAACTATATAAGTATATAACTATATAACTATATAAATATATAACTATATAACTATATAACTATATAACTATATAACTATATAACTATATAACTATATAACTATATAACTACATAACTACATAACTACATAACTACATAACTACATAACTACATAACTACATAACTACATAACTACATAACTACATAACTACATAACTATATACCTATATAACTACATAACTATACTGTATAACTATATAACTATATAACTATATAACTATATAACTATACAACTATACAACTATATCACTATATCACCATATACTATACAACTATGCAACTATGTAACTGACTGTACCATAAGTTGTAACTGTACATAACTTTTCATGCCCTGAACCCGACACCCCTGAACTCCTGAAGCGCACCTGTGATACTGATGGCCGGCTGTTTTAGCAAGCCACCTTTGACAGACATTAGAGTTTGGGGTTCAAAGGTGCATAGGACTGAGGGTTTTCCAGTAAGGCTTAAGCCTCAAAACCTGCACTCCTGCCGGGGACTCCCGGTATGTTCGAAAAGGAAGACCGCAACAAGTTCGAGGCTTGGAAGGAAACTGCTGTGGGGCTTTCCCGAAACTGCTTGCGGTTCCAGAGCTAGTGCAGAATTGCTTGGCTTCACAGCCGGTGAGTTAAAGAATCTATGATGGCAGCTTTTAGCGCCTCAAGGCTTGGCAGAGGGACGAATCTGACGCTCTGGCTTGAGGCTTGGGGTTTTAGGGTTTGCGATTGAAGGATTGCAGTTGAAGGTTTAGGTTGGGGCTTCGGACTCAAGATTCTGCAGTATGTAGCGGCTGTGGCTCCTATACTTGTATCGCATGAAAAAAAGCATTGGATGCAGCGTCCACAAGTGGTCGAAACTTCGGAAGCCATGAAAACCAGAACTTTGCGGGCCCAGATCCCAAACCGTACACCCAGGTCCGAAACACCAAGCCCTAAACCAAAAAGAACGAAGGCAGCATATCCTGAACCACCACCACGCGCTGGCTCTTAATGGAGTTTGAGGCTCCAGGGTCCCAGCACCGAAGCTTTCACTCCTCCCACGGGTCGTCGTGATCTGAGTCCGGCATGCTGAGGTTTACCCCTCAACACCCCGAAACACGCTAAGCTTCTTGAGGCTTGGGGGGTTGGGTCCGGGACTTGGGTATGGTATGAAGCATTCGCCCTCAGTCTCTGCAACGGTGGAAAAGGGCTGCGGAAGGGAGGCCCAGCTCGGTTGAGGCTTGCGGAGCGGAACACTTCTCGGGGCCCGGCCCCAAGACCACACGGCGCCTGCGCATCGTCCATCCGCATGCGTCCTCGGCCAATAACCCCTACATCCTGATAACGAAACCATCCACGGAGTCAGCACCTAGGACCAAAAAGGCCTGGTTAAGCTCGCCTTCTCTTGCGCACGCTGGAGAACCCAAGCAAAAGTCAGGCATAAGGCTTCTGAGGCTTGGAAGGCTTGTGACTCGTAGGGCTTCTTGAGGCAAGACCTTCTAGGCCTTATGCCTCTCACCAACTCGCAGCACTGCAACTTCTTAGGACTGTTTGGGTTTGAGGTTGATGGGTTGTTGAAGGATTCGGAGACTTGTTTGTATGACCTTAAGCCCCGACCTTTTTCTACAAACCAAAACCCCTCTGGCGTCCTTCGCGGCAGCGGCAAGCGGACCTAAGGAAACCGCTAAAGTTCCACTGAGACGACCCCAGCTATCGAAGCCCTGCGTTCAGGTTCGGCAGCGGCGCTTGAGAGATGCAGAGCCGGGGTTTAGGGGCGCCAGAATCTCTCGTAGGGATGGCCTTCAGGTCTCAGCCGGACTCTGCTTTTGGAGTTGGCTTGGAGTTCGGGCGCAAGGGAAAGGGGGCTTCTGGGTTCATGGGTCTGCAGTTCACCACGCAACCTGAATACAGTATGTGCAGAGGTTGTAGTGCCAAATGAATGAAACTCTTGGCACGTCGGCCCTGAAACGGTTTGTGCCACCTGGGCACTTTCAACCAGAAACGCCAACACCCCAAACCCTACGTTGCTTTGAAGGTTCGAGGCTTCATGGTTGAGGGGTTTTCGGCTTGAGAGCCTCAGTGTTTCAGGGTGCTGGTTCAGGCTGTCACTCAGAGCTCAGCTCCTGGCAGAGACGCCGGATGTTTTGCTGACGCAATCTCGAGACATCCGGCTAAAGTCCTGTGACAGTCGGACATGCAAGCACTGGGGGGCAGATCAACGATGTGCGACCCCCAAGTCCTCCTGGAGAAGCTGAAGCTTTGGGATCAAACGTGCCCGTGGAGAGCAAGGAAGGACGGACACAAGGACGTGCGAGCCTGTGCAACGAAAGCCTTGAACTAGATCTGAAGATTTTCATGTCGCGGCTGAGACCTGGAGGCTCTGGCTCGCTGTTGAACAGCAGGAGCAAGGCTTCCCCCCATCAGCTTTGACTCCAGACCACAAGATGCAACCCTCGATCCTTTGAGAAGATGAACCCCAAATTGCTGTCCTCCATCCACGACTGGAAATCTTCCTTGGCCTCGGTGGTACGCTTTCCCCCCCTCCCCTCCCCTCCCCTCGCCAAAAGTGTAGTGGTTGGATTAGCCCACCCAAACCAAGAGTGGCTTACATCACATTGGCTTTGGTGGGTCTCGCTCATAGTTTGTTGCGTGCACATAAGAACTACATTGCTTACATTCCCGTTGTATTCCGAAGAATAAATATTTCGGTTGGATGCAAACTAGAAAGAAATAAAGAGAAAGAGCGAGAACACTGTACGCATTCTAAGGGAAGGCTTCCAATTTGGGGCCGATCCTTCACAATCCAAACCACAAACCCCAAGGACCTTTGTTTGGGTCTTCACACTCCCGCGGGAAGGTGGCAAGGGCCCTACCCAGGCTGCACAAATCTGCTGGCACATGTCGAATGTCCCGGGTTTAGCGTTGGGGGGTAGTGGAGCCCCAACCCCCACAGCCCCGAGCCCCTAGCCGAACTCGAACTTGAGGGGCCGGCCAGCTCTTCACAGCCTTCCCAAGGATCTTCACCTCTGCTGGTGGATGCTAAGAACCCCTCACTAGGGGCCTCAGCACCTTCGCAATTTTAGAGGGTAGGGCTCAAGAGTAAACAGTGTTGGCGTATAATGGACCGCCTGCAATGGGAGAAATAATGGCCCTCCTCACAATAAGCTCAACAGCCCAAAGCCCTGAACCCCGGCAACCAAGGCAATTTAGGCTTTGCACAGAGACCCAAAAGTCAAGAACCCGACCTCAACCTCAAAGAAAATCGCAAAGATGGGGGCCCGTGCTGAGCCAAGGGTAGTCCGAAACCTGTTCCAGTTCGTTTCGGAGGGCTTTAGGACCATTTCTTATAGGGTCTAGGGATGTCTAGGGTGAACCCCGAACGCCAGCTTTTGAAAAGGGTTTCGGCTTCGGGTTAGGGGCTGGCGCGGTTGAGGACATTTCGGGCACGTCTCTGGGTTCCAGATCGGCATCCCGCTTAGATGCCGGTGCCGATGTACGTAGACAAGAGTTAAAGCAAGATGCAATGCTGAGACAAGACTTTGGAAAACAGCCAATAAGAGGTGGACCTACCAATAAGATCGCCCCTCTCAACCATCCCAAACGCAAAGTTTCTCAGGCAAGGAGCTACCACCAACCCTGGAATGTTTCACTCTGCAGTTTTACAACAGCTACAAAAGCGCTTGGGAATCTATTAGATGCCGGAGGTGGCTGCTGACAAGTTTTAAGAAGCACGCGCTTATCAAGCTGGGCCGGTGGGCCTTGCGATCCTGCTGGAAAGCCTCGGGAGTGCAGTCACATAAATCCTCGACCGTCTGTTCGACCATACATTGGTACTAGTATGGTACTAGTATGGTGTGCTGTGCGGGAACCACTTCACACTTTGCATTGGAAAGCCCGACAACAAGGCTACTTGCCCTGACAAGTGCGGGCAGACTGTGGAGCTTAGCTTTGGAGAGGGTGGGGGGGTGGTAGGTTTAGGGGCAGATTGTGGGAAGCTACGCGTGGCTTCTGGGGCAGGATGCAGATTTTAGCATAGGGGGTGCAGGAAGAAGATTCAATTCTGAGCTCGCTCTCCGGCATGCCAGACATGAGAATGCGGCATGTGGGGCTAGCAGTTCTTTGGAGGGACTCAACAGTTGCACCGCCCGACAAGCGTCAAGGTTGCCTGAAGGCCTTATGCATGCAGAAGCCCTAATCAGCCCTGATCATGTTGGGATCCTCAGTGGCCCACTGGACTATGCAGGATGTTGAGGGGTTCTGGAGATTCTGGGTAAGCCCACTTACATCGAGCCATTTCTCAACTCTGACAGGAATGCAGAAAATGCAAACTCGGCTGCAGCCTCCGGATTCTGCAGCTGCTTTCGGCCAAGTGAGCCGAGCCTTAAGGACTATAAGGGTCAGGGGTTCAGGTTTGTCCTGACAGCCGTTCCCTACAGGCACAAGATCTTCTGGGCATCCTCAACCCAAGGGTCTTGCAAGGTTGGGAAAGCCTTGGGATTCCACATCGCAAGAAGGGGGCCGAATGATCTTGAGAGGTACGCATGCATGCTTCTGGTGGCCATGCTGCGGCTGCCCACAATACATTTCGGTAACTTGGCCTCTCTGTGAGGTGGCTGACTCAAGGCAACCATCACACCTACATTCATTAGCAAGACTTCTGACGATGGTGACGACGGCGATGAGCAAACGGAGCCCTTGACACTTCACACAGCCACTTCAGTTCCCAGTTGAAAGTGTGTGTGCGTGTGTTTACAAGGCAAGGGCCCCACCCTTCCCATCCCGCATGTGTGTCTTCATGTCCAGCCCACTTCAACCCTGCGTCCGGCTCGACCCAAAACCGCGAACGCAGGACCTTCATCATCTCTGAAGACCCACACCAGTTTGAACAGGGTGTGCGAAACCCAGCCTGAAACTCCAACTCCGATTCCAGACCCAGAGCCCTAAGATTCTTGAAACACAAAGTCCTTAGTATTAGGCCGTCCGAGACCAAAACCACTAAGCTTCCTGTCAATCGAGCCGCAGATCGACGAGGAAGGCTAAAACGCCCAGGACGGCTGTGATGCCCGCCACGACCAAACCTAGGCGCTCGGACTTCAAGACTGGTTTTGGGCTCATTGTTGATCCGAGATGGGTTGTGCAGCAGAGGCTACCAAAAATGGGACCACAATTTGGATCAACCCTTACACCACCTCGATATTTTGGGATAAGTAGGGCCTCGAGAAGATGTTCTCCTAGGCCAGTGAGATTGGTGGCTCACGTGAAATTTCACAAGTTGCAGAGTATGGGAGCACCGGAACTAGTTCACATTCACGGGCATACATGCACTGAAAACAAAGCTGTATGCCGACGGAATTGCTCTTGGAAAACATACATTTGCAGGCAGGGAACCGTCGCCGAACGGCAGCTCCAGCTCCTCCGGCCAGCCCTAACAAGCCCATAACCCTGGTTTACCAGCGCAGATGATCACAGACGTGCATAAGCCCACCAGCAACACGAACCCACGACTGCAGCTCACTCTCGCAGCCCTCGAAGCCGTAGACCCTGACTTCAGAGAATGAAAGGACCCGAGGATGAGGACCAACTCTTGTGGCTAAAACCCGAAGCCCCCAGAGGCAGAAGATAGAAGAAAATCGCAGAAGACGGCGGGTTGTGAGCACCTTCGGCCCTAGGACTGCCAGATAGGACTTAAGGGACTTAAGGGATCTACAGCCACTTTCCAGCCTTTAGAGGTTGTACGGTTGGGAGATTGTGTATAGCTGTAAACACCGCCAGAAGAGATTCCGTTGACGTACCATTCCGTTGACGTACCATTACTTGATCCCATTTCTTGCCCCATTCGAAGCCGCGTGCGAGCCCAACGTAGCAACAAGGTAGCCTCATCCTCTGTTTGGCCTCACTGCAACCTGCATGCAAAAGACGGTTGCCTTCCAGACTTCACGTATCGAGAATATCCGAACAACCTATATAAGCCTATATGGACACTAAGAACCTGAGCTGAACGGCACGCCATCTGCCTGCACCGGGTCCCACGACTGCAAGATGGCATCAGGCTCCGCCTCGCAAACGGCCTTTGTTTCGAAGCTCTCGGCTAAGTTAACCCCATATGTGTGGTTCTCTACATTTATGGTCCCCTGTTTGGGGTGCCATATATAGTACGGCACCCTTAGAAGACGGGCCGCAAAAGAAACTCTAAAATTCGCAGAACTACCCAAGTGTAAGACCCTCAACTTGGAGCCTTGGATGATAGGAGCCTGTGCGGGGTGCAAACGGGGAGGGAGGTCAGGGGCGGGGGTGAATGCGCAGCTCGGCGCGTCTTGGGACCCCATACTTCAAAATTGACGCGACTAGGCAGTTGCGAGCTTGGCGCCCTCTACGTTCTTCAGCACCCCAAAGGTGAGAAAAGCTCAGGGGCTTATAAGGGGTAGCATCAGAAGGGCAGTCATCCCTGAAAGGTCCCCAACCCTGGAGTTCTTTTCGGACCAGCTGCAAAGGCAAAGCCGCTGAACAACGCCGTCATGACGAGGGACAGCAACAGCAGCAGGTCCAACAAGTGGGCGACCTGACTTGATCCGTTCATAAACTTGAGTTATGGATAGGAGCACGTTTGCGCACAGAATCCGATGTTGAGATCCCGCGATGCACTTGCGACTTCAGGGATTCGGGTGCCCGCTGGCGAAATCATTGCCACATGTGAGGCTGAGTGAGCCCGCCATCCGGCATGTCTTGTATCGGCAATGGAACACACAAGGGATCAAACGGGCGGGATGCCGAGAGATGCCCTTCTCAAACTCCCCACGAGAGGGGTTTCTCGGAAGCAAGCACAATAAAAATGGCAGTCCATGCAAGCATTCAGCACTGAGGCGAGCTGCTCGTGTGCTCGTGTAATGCCGAGCCAAGGGGTTTTTGAATCAATCGCACCGAACCTTGATAGCAACATTTGCGGCAAAGCTAAACCCTACACTGGAGTGTTGTTTGCTTTTCCAACACGAGTTGCGTGACCCACCCGTTTCCAGTTTCGAAACGGCAAATCTCAAGGCCATGCCCGGAGAACTGAGGCGGCCCCAGCAAGTGAACCTCGAACGTGCAGAAACCTGACCAGAGGGACACCCCAAAAAAGCGGGTACGGCCAGCCTGGAGGTCTTCGCGACAAGAATAAGGCCATGCCCGGCACAAGCACAAGCAGCGTGAGCAGCAAACATCTGAATACGGATCCCACACGCACAAAACTTAACGATTCATGATCCGAACCCTAGAAGATGGGGGCATGCAAACAAAGCCTCGTGCATAGGTGCATTCTGGACTCTAATTCTCAGCTGTGGGCGACGACGCCATCATCTTTGTGCGTCTCTTTAACCTGGCAGAACGACGCGCGCGTAATGGAGTGGCTTTCATGGCTGGAACATATTGCGACGTCTGTCTTAGGCACGATACACCCTCGTTGTAGAAGGAATGTTCGGAACATGACGAACAGTTCTTCGAGCGCTGCTGTGTTCGGTATCACTGTGCTAGGAGCGAGGCATCGATGGGCCCACCATGCACCTGGCATCCCCAACCAAGCTCATCCGACAGCAAGTCTGACGTGGAAGCTTGTTTGAATTTACTCCTAAACTGTAACTCACAGCGCCCATACTTTCAAGATTCTCTCATGTGCGCACTTGCCAAGAGTAGCAATGAGTGGGGGGGAGGTTGGGGACAGGCAGATTCCTGCGATTCATGGCGGTGGCAGCCCTGATTCCTGAAGGCATAATCTAGACTTGAGGCGATAATTACATGTTTTGAAACTAACTTGGAGTGTTTTGGGGAAGGGGTGTGAAGAATTTACGCTTGCACTGCATACTGCGCAAGCCTCTGTCCAGGCCACCAACGTTTAGAAATTACACAGCGCCCTGCCCAAAACAAGTAGCGCGCCTGCTCAATAATATCAATGGCATGGCTGTCAAAAGCAGATGTATGGGACAGGGGTAAGGTTCTTTGATGTGTTGACAGGTGGTCGTAAAAAATAAAAACACGGTGACACGAATAGCAATGAAACCAGTAAGAACAACAAGCTGTCTTGAAGCCTAACACATCCTCATTCCTCATGCCAAACCCTGCGGTTTACACAGCATACCCTCAACTCTCAGCTTCAAACCCTGCACCCTAACCGTGAGACGAAATTGCGTTGTCCGGGCCTCCAGCTCCACCGGATTGCAAGTGAGCTTGACGAGTCCAAGCGTCTGGGAAGTGGCGGAAGATGAACATTTGGCTACGATTCCCGAAAAGTTACCCAGAACTTTGATACGAAACCCCCATTAAGCTGCAAAAGGGAATCATGAGATGCTCCAGAGCCGGGCCAAGATTTATTCCGAACATGGAAGTGTCCCAACCCTGCACCCCCTTGACCCCAGACCTGTGTACCCGCAGCATTCTGACCCCCAAGCCCGCAAGGCCTTGCGGTCGACAGCGTTGGTGATCTTCACATCCTTCGAGACAATCTTACAATGAAGGACTTTCTCCCTTCACTTCCACTGCCGGCCTGGAGCTCCACAGGATTGTGGGAGATTCTGACAGGCTTCTCCTCGCGCAGGGGCACGACGGAGTTGGGAATACATGGCTTTGGGCTCAGGGTTTATTTAACCCACTTCACTTACTTGTTTAGTGCAGGTTCCTAGAACCTGGGATGGATGTCAGGGGTTTCATTGAGCTACTTGAATCACAGAAAGCCCCTCACCTAGGCTCTACCTGGACGGAGTGGACGTGCGACACGGCGCTACACGGCGCTACACGGCGTGCTCTCAGGCTCGCAGCACACTGCTTGGGAGACTGGAGCGCAAACAACACTCCTGCGCATTGGAAGATTGTCGACGCCCTGGCTGGTGGAAAAATCAGGCAGCCGTGCGCTCTGCAAGAAAGAGCTGGAAGCACGTGTCGAGCCCGGGCGCACTCATGCGTTGGAAGCATTGGTTCTGCAAAGGCGGGCCTAACGCAGAGGGGGCTTCCACCCCAGTGGGTTAGACATTTGGTGTCTGCTACACCAATGCCAGTCGAGACGGGCGCAGATCTTGATGTGCACAGCATGCGCAGCCCTTGTAGTGCACACGTCTTGCTCCTCTGGTGGATAACGACGGATAACGTGTCCGCATGCTTTGCCTCCTCATTGAGGGTTTAAAGTTAGGGTTGGGGGAGCGCAGGTAGAACTCTTACGCATGGGGATGTTTTGAGATTGTGAAGACCCACACATTCCTTCCAGCTTAATCACCCGTCAAGAAGGCCGCGAGACCCTGCGCAACCAACAGTTCTAACCACTTGGAACTTCCCGAGTGCGTCTCGAGTGCATCGAAGCCACGTGCAGATTACAAATACGATTTCAAAACTAACCCCAAAATTATGGATTCTCGGCTATCGCGATGGTCTACGTAGTGCTGCGTACTACCCAACAAACAGCCCAGGATCTTACAAATTTCAGATCAAACACCCACATGGCCTCGCCCGTCTTCTCCCGCTGCTTCGTGGGACCCTGCCTCTCTCGATGTTCGAGGAAAGAAACGGTGCTGATAGAAATCAGAACCCCAGGCATGGCTGTCCCATTTCCGATGGGCGGTGTCGTTCTCGGCATTTGCTTGCGAATTCATTTGACGGATTTCTGCGGGGCTCAGGAATGTGACAAACAAAGCAGCTCATAGCTTCGGGAATGGCGATCTGGATTTCACAGTTGTCAGGTTCCTGACTGCCCAGCCTTTGGGATCTGCAAATTTAAGCACAACCCACGCGCGGCCTGTGTTTCACACAGGTGGTGTCCACCTGCCGGCACAGACAGCTTCCAGCAGATGCATCCATGTTAACGTGAAATAGGGTGGCTCCGCTGCAAGCATGAAGTACATCTTCCGGGGAGACAAAGTAGAACTGCGCATAAGGCCTTACGAGACTATGCTGGGAGCTAGTATACGCTGGGTCTCCATCCCACTTCAGACAAAATCCCGAGGATCAGCCCCGACATAGTGACCGTCCAGAATAGCCGAACTTTTTTGCAAGACCTGTCAGTGTGCTGGTCAACCCTGGTCCCCTAAACTTCTCGACCCCAAGCCCCTACAACAGAAACCCTAATCCGAACCTCTAACGCCTAAGCCCCCAACAACTGTGCTGTAGACTCGGTCGAGGATTGACCGTCCTCCAAAACTGGCTAAACCCGTTGTTCGAGTTTTGGTCTAAGGATTGAGTCGCCTCAGCACGGCTATGTACGCTCTTCAACTGTGTAGGTGCGCTAGACGCAACATCAATCGCCGGGACATGCAAACCTCTACAAGCAGCTCACAGCACTTCCCGGAGTTTGTGCAAAGCCCTGGGAACTCCACAACACATTTGGGGGGGTGAGGGCCGAACTCCTCAACAAGATAGAAGAAGACATGTCCTACCACCACACACCCGCAGACTGCCCACCTTTGGGCGCCCCAGCAGCACGGGCGCCTGACTGAGAGAGAGAACAGCAAGGCCCCTGCGGTTCTGAAGAGAAAGGGCCGCAAGGGAGGATCAGACCCCTATAAATCAGGGTCGCTGGCAGTGCTTGGAGACCATGTTTTCAGGGCTTTCGCTGTGGAGCCACAACGCAACCTCCAAGGCTTTGATCCCTGCACGTATCGAAAAGGATCGAAAAGGCCTCCACCGCTTCCCAAACCGCACCCACTTTCCCGAGGCCCTGATAGCATGCCGAAACTCGCCATGCTCCAGTACACCAAAATACACCCCCGAACACCACAAAGCCGCAATCCATAACCCCTGGGTGCCTGCACGGACTCAATGGTGCCCAGGAGTGTGTAGGGCAGAAAGATGGGGGCCTCTTGTACCGGCTTCGTGTTGTGGTTGGGACTGACAAGGTCTGTGGGGGGTCTGTGAATTCAGCGCTTGAAGGTTCAAAGGCAAATACCAGTATATGAGACTGGGGGAGTGGAGCAGTTGCACAAGGATGCCGGAAGAAACAAACCTACGTTAGAGGATCTTTCCTACTCACAACTGCACGTAGACCTACCTGTCTCAACAGGCCCCGTGCCTGTACAGTAAACGCTTGGGAAGGACCGAAAGTGTTCCCCTTCAGCCCTCCACACATGCCCTGCGAACCCTTCCTCCCCACCACCTCTGCTTTCCAATGCTCGTCTGAATTTACTGCAAAACTAAGAGAGCCGAACTAGCTTGTGCTGTCTGCCGAAGCCATGACTTGAAGCAACCCCTCGGCAATCCTTGGCCACGGACAAGATGGTCAAGCCACACCCCCTATGCCCCAAACCCTAAACCAATCGCGCGACTCATCCGTGCACATGAAGATCCGAGGCCTTGAGCGCATGCCTTTGGCCTCCACAAGCGCTCATGGCCGTTTTTTGCAGTGTGAGAATTCAAGGCTCTGGCTTCGGCTAGTTTGGTGCAGGATTTGGGACTCGGGCTTCCGAAAGTAGATCTGTTTTTGGATGCTGAGTCGATAACACTCAACAAGACCAGTCAATGAAGCGCCAAGCACTCAGCCCGAGCAGATCGTCGGGGGGAGCTGAGGCAGGCACTCGAGAGAAAGCTCGTGTTGAGCTCCTGCGTGCACAGAATCCACTCCGTCCCATACAATCTGAGCCTTACTATGTGAGCTCACTATTCTGGAGCCTCATGGAAACAATCTCGTCCTGCGAGGTATCTCAATCTTATCCGCAAATATCCGACGTCATGTTAGAGCACCTTGAGGCGGGCAACTGACTAGCTCAATGCTGTCCTGCTGCTGCAGCTGCATGGCTAAAAGGCTAGAGGCTGCCCAAGAAAGGGGCGCCGAAGCACTGTTTCTACGCCCGCTGGCACGGCAGCTTTGTTGCAATCCCCTAGACCCTAACAAGACTAACTAGAACGTAAGCTCGTCCATCACCACGTGGTGTACTGCGGATTACAGTGAAACATCCAACGCAGCTGGAGAGCCAGGGCAAACAAGTCTCGCGGAAAAAGCCTGCATCTTTAAACCCTGCCGCTACGTCGGTACTCGTCCAAACCCTTCGAAAAAAGGAGAAACGAAGATAGAAAGGCTGCTACGCGTCCATCTTGGGACCCGGTGGTCATGATGACCATGTGCGAAGACGCGAACATTAGCAGCATCATTGGGCCGAGGTATGTCGAGGTCTTCGAACACACACGCTTTCTGCGAGGCAGAACGCACGCACGGTCAGGCTCACTCCTTGGGCGACGCGGAGTCTCAGCAGCCAAGCATCACAAAGCATCGCAACCCAAACAAGTTGCGTTTTTGTCTTTGCCGGGGGGATCTCACGCGCGTGTCCACACAACTAAAACTCATCGGAGCCCCTCAGGCATTTCCGTGAGGCGCAAGAGCGCTTGATAGGGTTTCTTAGGCTTGACAGGTTCCGCATTGACCTGCCCAAAGCGGGCTGGATGCAGTCGGAGCTTTGCTGGATGAACAAACAAAACAGCAGCGAGCTTATGTCAGGTTGCATTGACCCCCGCTGCGGATTAAACTTCCCCGAAGAACGAAGGTGGTCTGAGGCTTGCCCGCCGGCGTACAGCAGCACGGGCATGAGCATGATGAGCATCACTGGTTTTCATATCCCCGAACAAGATGAACACTTCGCGGCAAGGGATTTACGGGTTTGTGCTTGCGGAAAAACTATCTGCTGAATATGTTTCGCGTCCCAGGCCCTCGACATGACATGCTCCATTCAGCACATGTGCGCAGCAAGGCTCCAAGATCTTTTCTTCGACGGAGCACCGCGCACCTGTGCTCTCACTCGAGAGCACCTGGGCTGCAGGAGCCAGGCCTCTTCCTGTCATTGCGCCGGAGAGGCCGGCAGCGGCGCCTGGCAACGAAAGCAGAGGTCCCGCGGTGATACAAGAAGCAGCCCCCGCGTGGTGCATGTTTCACTGCACAGTTGGCGCGTGGGTTTGTCTGCAAGCGAAGCGTGCACCCAGGTCCTTGCAACAGTACATGCATGCATGCATGCATGCATGCAGGCATGTCTGCAACCTGGCATCCATGCAGACCACGTAGACCGGCGTGCATGTGCAGGCGTGCTGGCGCGTGTGTGTGCAGGCTGCATGGGCGGGAGGGTGGGCCCAGGCATCTATATGCAGGCGTGCTGTGCGTGGAAGCTTGCCAAATGCAAGCCTGCTGCTGTATGATGCTGTATGGAAGCAAGCGCATGTGCATGCAAGCAGACGCCCAAGCCAGCGTCGAGAAAGCAAGCGAACGTGCAAGGATGCTCGCAGACTGATGAGGACTCCTCATCCCGGCAACACCCCAAGTTCTGAGGCCCAGGCCGGCAGGGGTGTCGGCGCTGGGGCATCGAGGACATTGGGCTTTTGACCTCGGCCCGTCTTTCTGCAAGGGGCAACTGTTGGTTGGCTCAGGCTTTGCTTAGTGCAGCGTTCCTGCTGGTCATTTGGGGTCAAGGGTGTGGTGAAGGGTGTCTGGGGTGCAACAGGCCTCGGTGCATTGCAGGGATGTGCAGGGCTTTGCAGGGTGGCGGGCCCATGCTTCTTCTACACAGCCTCTGTTGCTCTGTTGGATTTTCCGGCCTGACCTGCTAGGAGGTGCTGAGGCAGGGGCTCGAAGGCAAGCTCTTCTTGAACTCCTGCGTGCACAGATTCCACTCGTGCCACTTGGACATCGCTATGGAGCTGCATTCAGAGAGCCGCGAACCCCTTAAAACTGCTTCTACTTTGAAGGGCATGTTGGCGAACGGCAAACCATGCGCACTCGCCACATCGCGCCACCTCGTACTCATCGGGCAGCTCGGAGTCGGACTCGAAGAAGAGGTAGGACAACGTGATGTGGTCCACGTGGTCAAAGCGACTCGGCTTGTGACTTTCCGGGGGTTCGGGCACCTGCTTCAGGGCCCTGGACAAGGGCTTATGGAGTTTTAGGCGTAAAGGGCTGCGGCTTGAGGAGTTTCACACGATCTTGGGAGGCCGCTTGTCGCGCCCCATCATCGAGTCCTTGGATCTTCGTTGGCCAAAAGCAGAAGGCTCGTAGGCTCTTAGGCACTGCAGCGAAACCTTCCCACGGATCGTCGAACTGGTGTTTCAGCTTCCGGGGGCCATCATGATATTTGTGATGCTCTCCATGGTAGTAACATTAGTGACAGCATCGTTAATAGTTACAATATTTGTATTACATTTAATATATTCATCATATTTGTTATATGATGCTACCAGCAGCCGAGCCACAATGAAGAAGAAGATGGGCAGATCCACCTCTTCTCCTCGCCACAAAATTTCTAGCCGTGCCCCCTTTGACTGCATCTCCAGAGAAGATGCAAACTGCTCCGACAGCTCAGCAGCAAGGGTTTGGGGTTTAGGGTTTAGGGTTTAGGGTTTAGGGTTTAGGGTTTAGGGTTTAGGGTTTAGGGTTTAGGGTTTAGGGTTTAGGGTTTAGGGTTAGGGTTTAGCGTTCAGGGCCAGCTTCTTGTCACTTCCCAAAATGCGGCGTCGCGCTGCAGGCCTGGGTTGATCAACTGCTCATCGAAGCAGAAGCACTGGATCCTCTGAAAGGCACCGAAGGCACACGGTTTTTCTACACAAGAGAAGAAGGATCACAAAAGATCACAAAAGTTGCTGGATGGGTCTTGTAGGTGTGCGGGTCGTCGCTGGCCGACTACTTCTGCTTGGGGCTCCCGGTTGTCAGTTTGTCATTAGTCGAATGGCTCTTCTGCATCCATCCCATCGGGAGAAGCCTCTGACCGAGAACTCCAAAACTCACAAGTCCTGCAGCTTGCTATCCTAAACTTTCAAACCAAGCGCGCAGAAGCCCAAACTCTATGCCCCAAAACCGTAGCCTTGACCCAAAGGTAAATCCAACATTCCAAACTCCTAACCAACCCTTCAGTAAACTAACCTGCTCAACCACACACAAACACCCCAAACGCCGACGGAAGGGGTGTTCGTGTGCGTGCGCTCACCCTTTCTCCATGCCAAGACGCTTGTTGAAGTACAGTCCAGCCTGACCGAGTCTGTTGGCTTAAGAGAGCGGCTCGGCCGAGGGTTGAGGGAGGTCTCCTCCTGATTGAACTGTTGGGTCCGGGGTTCTGGACCTCAAAAACGCTTGAACTGCCACTTGATCCTACTAGGGCCCTTCGCCCAAGACGGACCGCATCACCTCGGCGGGGATCATGTGGTACACGGACACGCCGATGATGGGGCGATCGCTGGTGTTCCTAGAGAAGCGCGAAGCCGTTTCTGCAGAGTTGGGGATCCAGATGGATTCAGGTTCACCTTTTGGCCATGCTAGCTCTGGCCATCGGGGGTTGGAGCAGCTTCTGAAGGAAATGCAAAGGAACAGCTTTGTAGCAAGAGCCCAACCTAACCGTTGCGGTGCCGCCCCTGAGCTCATGGCTTGGCGCGGTAGAAGGCCAAGGCAGTCTCCTTGTGTCAGGGGTGTGCCGTTGGGGGGCTGAGGGTCCGAGGGTCGGATTTAGGTCGAGGGCTTGGCTACATGCTGACAGCCTCATCCTGGCGTCATCAAAACACTTGTTGCAAGCAATGAGAAGAGGAGCGCATGAAAGATGCAACCCCAGCACTGACATCCAAATGGGCCCTTTTGTATCAACCCTACAGCATCCTGAGCCTGCCTAGTTTTGGATGCACCTTCCACTCTTTAAAGCACGGCCCCGTCTCATGCCCGAAATCCCGGTCCCCAAGGCCGACGACGACGCGCCGCTGCTGCGGCACAAACTGCCACGGCAGAGAGGTGTGGACCTTGCCATATTACCATATTACATGATATTACATGTATGCATGATGTGTATATGTATAAAAAAAAGTAAAGCACAATTGGATCGGAACAGCTGCCTCAGATGAGAAGGCGGCTCCCTTGTCGAGAAGTTTGAGAAAGGGATCCCAAAGATGCCCAAGCCACCCCCACTGAACAACCTTCCCAAGCCCGAAACACTGCCGCAAGTAAGCCTAAGATGCCCAAAAGCCCTCCCCCCCCCCCTTACCCCCCCCTTCCCCCCCCTTCCCCTCCCCATAGGGCCAACCTCGACCGCGGGAAGCGAAAAGGCCGGGCGCCCGCGCCGTGGCGGCGAAGTCGACCGTGATGAGGCGCTTGGCATCCACGGAGTCCTGGCTTCGGGGCGCAGAATCATCCCCTACCCCGGAATATTAAGTGCCCCCCCATTATGGTTATATTATAGTATGTGGGGGGAGGGTATGTAATATTAAGGGGTCGGGGGGGGGGGGGTTTAGTATTAGGGGGCGCAGAAGAAGGGCAGATGCTTACGTGGAGTCTTTGGGGTTTAGGGCTTCAGGGTTGAGGGCTCAGGGCTTTCTGGATGAGGCTCTTTGCTGAAGAAAGCCCAGCTTGCGCGGCCACTTTGGAACTCAGACTTCGGAGCTCCTTCGGTTTTGGGGTCGGGGCCGTGAAGATTTTGAGGAGAGGCGCGGGTGGCCGCACTCCGGGCTGCTGGCGATCAGCACCATGCTGCTATGTAGCATGAACCAGGCAGGCGTAGACCCGGCACGCTCATGCCCCGTGCACTCATGAGCTTGTGGTTGCGAGGCAACGGGGTCAGGACATGTTGCTGGACTGAGTTCAGTCGATTCTCCCCGCCTGTCAGTCGAGCAAGAGTCGGACCCCTCTCCCAGCGCAGTGCACAAGATGTTGGATTTGTTTTCTGAGGGGGGAGCGACTCGGTGCCAGATTTCGAGCTTAAATGGATTTAACGAATTGCCTCGAAGCCCCCGGCAAAACAAGGGCCGGCCTTGGCCGGAGGCGGTGAGTACTCCTTATGTCCCACTGACGAAGCCTGGGGCAGAGGCTCTGAAGAATGGTGCAAGGTGCAGCGATGCCTTCCTTCAGCAGGAACGAGCACCAGGAAGAAACCTAGACCTCCCGGCAAGACGAATGCAAGCAGGAAACATACCTTGCGGGAAGCTTGACCCCGGAAACGTGCCTCCTGAGCCCAGAGCCCGAGCCGTAAACCCTCTCCAGAACCCGGTGTCCCACGAATGAGTCCCAGCTTGGGCCTGGCCCTGGCCTGTGGCTTGGCAGTAGATCTTGTACAGCCTTTGGCGTTTAGGATTTGGGGTTTGAAGGCTTGAATATTTAGGCCTGACTCCTCTGCACATCTTTGAACGAACCGCCACACCCGACGATGCGGCCAGGGTGCGGCACACACGCGAAGACCAGGGCGAAAATCGTCATCCCGGCTGCGCCATACCACCAGGTCTGGACAAGGCCGATTGCTCCAAGATAGCTTGGTTCGGCTCACCACCACAACGCCAACTCTGCCACCACCGCTGAAAACCACCAACATGACAACGACGACAACGATGACCGCTAACGACTGCGACTGTTGCGACTAGGACAACTACCATGGCACTACTACGTACCACGTATTCCTAGTTCTATTCCTAGTGCTACATCTGCTACTGCTGCTGGACTCCTACTCCTACTCGCCCTCGCCTGATGTTTTTTTTACAAGGCTGAAGCTCCACTGCCTCTGAGCCCCGGGCTGTTTGAATGCTATTTTCCAGTTGCTTCCGCCTTCCTCGCTGCATGGGCTGCCTTGGGCTTGGGATTGAGACAAGGATGAAGATGGCTCCAGGCTTGAAGTGCTCAGAGCCTCCTTTAGCTTCGAAGGATGTTCAATGAATGTCTTACGTCTTTTGATGGGTTTCTGAAGAGAACGCATGCTCAGAATATTCAGCCGGGCAAGCTGAAGGCCTTAGAAAGTAGATGATGCCTTCTTCCACTTTGGCCAGAATTTGCGAGATTACAGCAGCGACCGTGACCCTGGTCCTGGTCGAACCCAATACAACCATGAGCATGCAACAGCTTCAGCTTTCCTGTTATTGACATATGCTGGGGGCCCGGCGTGCTGCTAGGGCCACCAAACAAGCATCGCGAGGAGCTCTCCCATGGGCTGGGAAGCCTTCGAAAGCAACTCTGCAGGCCGGTGCCGGTCGCACAGTGTCGGCAAACCAGAGTAGGCCCGCTCCCAGTACAACCAACGGTCACTGTGCTCAAAGCCCAAGTTCACGATGTAAGAACCCTGTCAAAGCCTCTTTAACTTGAAAATCAGACCCCGCACCCTCCAACTCCCAAACCCGAGCATCCCAGGCAGCCCATGGCCTTGGCGGCCGGACGCCCGGGTGGGCAAAGGATCTCCCTGCCAGCATGGTTCCGGAGCGCAGAAGCGCAAACTAAGGCTCAGGGCTAAGGAGACCTGTGGAGGGTTTCCCAAGGTTTCCGAGGTGACTTGAATCAGCAGGAACCGAATGCGGAACAGCTCTCCCATGTTCAGGGCGTGCTCGCCGAGCACACCATCAGTGACCATCAGGCATCCATTTGTTGTCGCCATCGCGGGACATGGTGGGCTTAGCAGCTAAGTTTAGGGGAACCCTCACGAAACACTCCCAACGCCCAAACCAATTGGACCACTGCGCTGTCACCACGCACCTCTCGTCTCAGCCCACGCTTGAGGGATTCATGATCAGACCTGCCAGCCTCCCAGAACCCCCAAAAAGCACAATGCCCCATAGCAAAATAACCCACACCTTCACAAGTCTCCGGTGCCTTGTGTTCCAACGCATGCGAGGACACGTCTGGGCTGAAGGAGCTCCCTCCTTCAAGGCTGCAAGATGAAGGACTGGGATGTGTGGTGTGCGCTGGTCCAGCGAAGCTACGAGTGGGTGGGAATGAGAGCATGCGCATGAAGTCGTGATCCTCACTGCATGTAGGGCACTTCAGCTAGACTTGCCGTTGCCCCTTTCAGCTGGATGCTTCGGGGTGTAGTGTGCCCACTGTAAGGTCTGAGGCGAGGCTACTTGGAGGCTCAGGGTACTTATTAACCCAATACTAACTGTACTCATACCCCAATCATACCCATATTAGGGCACTTAAGTACCATGATTCGGGCACTTAAGTACCATGAACCTCCAAGTAGGGTGGCTCCGGGCAAGGACCTGTGCACGTCCACGGGGGCTTGGGTGAGGATTTGTGATTGGCCTGGCAGTCTTGTTTCAGGCTTTGTCCCCTAAACCCTAAACCCTAAACCCTAAACTCTAAACCCCGTCGTTGCTTGGTCGCTCGACATGAAACTCCTGAAGGCCTCACGCGGACCCTTCCGATCACTTGCGCCCCCAAGCACTCCCTGAACTCCGAGAGGGTTTAGGGTTTAGGGTTTAGGGTTTAGGGTTTAGGGTTTAGGGTTTAGGGTTTAGGGTTTAGGGTTTAGGGTTTAGGGTTTAGGGTTTAGGGTTTAGGGTTTAGGGTTTAGGGTTTAGGGTTTAGGGTTTAGGGTTTAGGGTGCGACAAGGTCCTGTCCCAGCATCTGGCCGAGCGAAGGAACCGAGCCCGCGCCAACATGGCAGCGGAGGGCCAGGAACAAAGTGCGGAGTTCTGCTAGTTCTGCTTGCCGTCTTGTGCTCAAGGTTCATGGTATGGCTTCAGGCAGGTTGGATACCTCTTGTCGAGTGGACGGCATTAGTGTGGGCAGTTTCGGGTTTAGGGCTGTGGGGAGGATTTGAGGGGTTTAGGTTTAGGGTTCAGTGTCGCGCGTGCTCTGGCACTGCTGGATGACGTGAGTGGCTGCGGTCTGCCACGATGGGAACTACTGAGGCGTGTGCATGGCGTGCTGCTCTCCAGTGAAGCTGCGAGCCAGCCGGGCATGGACTATTAGGACCGGCCAGAAGGAAACAAGGGACCCACAGTAGAACAACCCCCATTCGTGCTTTGGGGCTCTGAGTTCTGAGTTTGGGCATGGGGGCCTTAAACTTAAAGGGGGCCTAGATGGCCCTGTCTTCTCAGAGGTGGGCGTTCGATGGCTTTGGCCTGAACAGCCCGTAGCTTTACCCATAGTTGGCCATAGTTTTCAAGCCGGAACCTTCAAACCAAAACCTCAGGCTTACAAAATATCACCATCAGCGGTCAACTCTTTGGAAACCCAGCCATAAACGCAAACCCAACGACCCGAACAAGAACAAAGACAAGGCTTTTTTGCAACAGGGGTCGGGGCAGAAAACAGCACAAAAACAGACACAAAACATGAGAAAAAAAAAATATTGCACGGCCATGCTGTCTCTTTTTAGCGCGTGCACTCAGGGAGGCGGTGGAGCCCAACCCGGGGGGCCAACACCATCTCGTCTTGTTTTGGGTGGGTTTTGGGGCTTATACGGGTTCTTAGGGAGCCTCCCCGCGTCAGCTTCCACCGCCTCAGGACTGTACATTGCGGAAGCTTTGCCCTCCTTTCCTGAGGGGGACCAGGAAAATCGGACTTCTGGTGGGGATGGGAACGGGGCCTCTCCACAAGCGACCTTGGAAGACCTTGTTGAACGGCAGCCATGAGCACCCCACTGACCATACGACTCCTAGTCTGAAAAGAACATAAAGAACACCTGACGTCCATGGCCCCAACTCCTGACTCTTGCGACGAGCTCGTGCTGTTCACTACGTCAGATCGCAAGCTTGAGGCGCCAGTATGGTGGGCCTTTGCACGCGCAGGAATCACAGCTGCCTGTGCAAATCGAGACCCGAGACCTCATGCACTGCCACGTCACCAGCCACGCCGGGTTTCCCGAAATCAGCGAGACATTCTGAAACGAGGGCTCTATTAGCGGGGTGCTTTTGGCGGCCCTCTTCAAGGAACACCGTGCGAGCAGGACTTCTTAACGAAGGTCAGCCTGCGGGTGCCTTCAGCACTGGAATCCAATGAAAGACGCCTTGAGGTCACGATATGTCAGGTGGGCCCAGGTGGGCCCAGGTGGACCCAGGTGGACTCGCTCCAGCTCTAAAGGCACCCAACCAGTTGTGGACAGGCTCTGGAAATGAGACGCACCTACCTTCAAGCAAATGCATAAGGGGCGGTGGTGGAGCGCTGGAGCAACCGCGAACAGTGACGGAGGATGTGGATGTGGCCCGAAAACGAACGACTGCCAGACTGGAGACCGCAGTGTATGGCTCCTCACCCTGCAGGGAGGGAAAGGGGCTTAGGATTTAGTGAGAGTGGGTTCGGGGTTTCAAGTAGGGATTGGGGCGCGGTTGGGATCCCTGTCGAAACTCCTGCTCCGATCCTTCAACCCAGGTGGGCGTCTCATTCTTAAGAGGCCGTCACTGACGAAATCAGCACTTGAGACACCGAGAAGGGCGCAGCCCAAGATCCTGGCAGAGAAGGGACGGCCTGGCTAGCCTAGCTAGCCTGTCTGCTACCAAGGGCCACAAAATGTCACAGAGCACCTGAAGCGAGAAGCCAATCCCAGAAGTCCTGTGCGACAGCGCAAGCTCCGCGGGGGGCGCAGCGCCAGTGCCTGGTTAGCTGCATGAAGCCCTGAAGCTCTGAAAATCTCCCGAAAAAGCACTCCTTTCACCTTTTCGCTCGGGCACTTAAGGGATTTGAAAACCGAAAACCCGCAAGCCCGGGGAAAAAAAAACACCAAGACGGCTGGTTGGGTTCCTTTCGGTCTTTTGGAGGTCCTGGCTGGGTCCTCAACAAGGTCGGTCCTCACAGCAGCTACCAACAAAGGGGAGTGTCCCGACCAGGCCCACAAGGGCCCAGGGCCTCCCCCCCAAATTTTGTAGAGTCAGTCTCTGACCTTGCCTGAAGCCATTCGCCGAGACTGCCTTAATACTAATAAACTACATTAAAAGATAATAAAAGATACAAGCCTAGAAAGATAAATAACAATAAGATTTCAAGAAAATGCCAATAAAACAGTTGTAGATATGAAAAGTATGAATTTCCAATATTCTAAAGGTCAGAAAGAAAGGTGTGCAAAAGAGCCTCATAAATGATGTAATTCTCTAGCCATTTCTGCAGGTTGATTTCATACGTTCATTCACTTGTTCATTCACTTGTTCATTCACCTTGTTCACTCAGCTGTTACCTTATTATTAATTCTTGGTTGGCTTGTTCATTGTGTTCTTTTCACATGGGCAAATCATATAACTATCATGTACCAGCGCACTGATATTATACTGTTCTTAGCACGTTCATACTATTTTTGTAAACTAGTACACGAAAACAATATCGCGTAAAGAGAACATTAATATTCGCCGGATACACTATTAAGATTACTATTAGAAGACGAGGAGAACAAGAAAATTAAGAACTGTGCCTTTCCAAACCCACACAAAGCCCGCCTTGTCTGCCTTAAGGTCCTCGCCCTGGCATTCGCCAAGAAGCCTCGGGCGAGCTGAGCTGGTTCTGAAGCTGGTCCGGTCTGAGCCTTATCCCCATACTAGCCGACAAGGTAAAATCGGGACAGTCGAGAAGCCAGGGGATGGGTTTGGAAGAAGCACACGCACGTGGGAGAATCCCCGGCCTGCTCTCGGAGTGCAGGCCAATGAGCCGTGCCAGCTGGTGGACCACCTCAATATGGGAGTTTACGAACATAAGGGACCCCTCATATAAACCCCCAGATGGTAGGTTCCCTTAGTAATAAGGACCCTAATAAGGTGCCCGAATTTCAAAAACCTCAATATCAGCAAGTGAACTCCGATAAGGCTTGTCTACACACTTCCAGGCATCACCACCCGCCGCGCCTTTCGCTCCGTGGCATTCAGGCCCATCAAAAGCATCTCATCAGCAGGCGGAGCCCCAGCCTCGGCCCAGGTTCCCTGCACTTCTCACGCCTTGCGCTCTTTGTTCACCCTGGGCCGAGCCGCAGACTTCGGTAGCCAAGTCACCACCTGTCCACATCAGCTGCCTTGAGACTGACACAGATTGGTGCTTGGGTTCTGTTACGGACAAGAAGGTCGTGGGAGTAATACGTGCCCATACACATTGATGCACATTGCTGAGGCTCCGACCACATCAGCAAGTCCTGTCTCGAGGAATCGGGGAAGGTGGGGGGGTTCAAGAGGTTGCCAAGGAGCTGCTCCATGCAATCATATGATAATCATATGCTGAGCACGCTTTCCTCCTCCTCCAAGCCGCGGGTCTTCCCAAAAGCCACCTGAGGGGATTCGAAACGAGATCTGCAGGGGTGCGAACTGAAAGCCTTGTCACGTCTGTTTGTCAGGGCTGTTCGATCTTTCTTGTTTTCAACTGTGTGGCTTCTCATGCAAGACGTGATGGTTCATGCGATGAAGCTTGGCTCGTCCGACCTCACTTCCTCTGCATTTGGCCTCTTCCCATTCCCAAACAGCTTTCGGGTTCTAGCAGCAACTCCGTGGACCCTGAACTCTTCAGTGAAGTGTTCAGCAACTTCTGGCATGCCTCCGACATTGCCCACCAGCCCTTCCGTGCCTGAGTGAGCTCCTCCAACTTGGCGATCAGCTCCTTGCAGGCCCGGAAACCATCACGGGGCTCAACAGGGTTTTGGAGCCCTCGGCTCGGAAGTCCGACACGAAAGCTCCAGACAGTTTTGGAGGCAGGTATGTAAGTCTGGCCAAGTTCTTGCTTCCCCTAGATATGACCGTCATGAGTGCAATCATGTGAGAACCGTACTAGTCACACGATCAATACTAGTAATACTGGTAGCAGTGAAAACTGCAAAGTATGAGAAATTGCCTTGAAACTGCATCTAGCACTAAAGGCTCAGATGTTAATACAGCAAGTACGAGTACTGCGCAGTTGTCACCACCGCCACTGCCACTGTCACAGCCACCCCTAAGCCCTCCTTTGCAAGTACCCCAAGTCCGCCTGTGAGGACTCGCTCTGCGCCAGGAACTGCCAATTCTCGCGGAAAGCACGGCGCACCTGAGACGCCATGCCGGAAGGTAGCCCCGTGACACCAGCGTAGACATGTGAACAGTCCTACGAGTGAGTGGGGGCTTCACTAGTGAATGTAGACGGCTCCCAAGGATGGCCGATGGCTCTCAAGGAATCGGCCCTATGACACCGCGCGCATTCACGACCGTAAGGCGGCTACAAGACAGCCTGCTCTTGTCACCAGCAAGTCGATTGACGAAAATATGAAAACAAAAGCTTGTGGACTCCTTTGTGAAGCAACAACTCGCAACAAATAGAATACCCTGCCCTAGACCTACACCCGAAAAGTCCCTGAAGACGGCATGGCATCGAAAAGGCCTGGCGAACATGCTCCTCGGCTTCCCAGGCATCGCCCTGGCTTGCGGCAAGGCTTTACTCTCTCAGGGGTCAGGGGTCGAAAGGCAGCTATTTTGACCTGAGTTGAAGGAGAAAGCCAACACCGACCCTCTATCAAGCATCCAAGATCCAAGTCCACATGCTGAACTCACCACATGCATCGACATTCCGAAAGCCAACAAGGCCAGCAACACCAACTCGACCAAGCCTACCCCATGTAACCCCTGTGAAGCTCAGAAGACACGACACCGGCCTTGGGCCGCGCACGCCGCGGCGAGCGCCCGCGGCTCTCTGCAGCGGCCCAGGCCTCCAGGGCGTTCGCGGCGCCTCAAACAGAGAGAGAGAGAGAGAAAAAAAAAAAAAAACAAACAAAAAGAGAGAGAGAGAGAGCAAATAAATAAATAAATAAATCAATAACAAAATCAACAGAAGAGAACGAATAAATGCCTCGATCATATCCCCACCCTACTACTGTAGCCGATGAGGGCGCCATCCTGCCGTTTTCCGGATAGACCATTACGGATACTTCGCCGCAGGCCTCTGTCGCGGGACTCTCTGCAAGCTTCTCCCAAATTCTCTGGCGCCAGGGATACTCGGCGTGACTCTCTGCGGTGGGCACTCCAAGGGTGCTCGCGGGACTCCAAGAGACCGGAACAACCCCACACCGAGGATGGAGACAAAAACACGAGAAGGTGTGGCGGGAGAGGGAAAGCCAGTTGAAGACACAGAGACAGGGAAAGAGAGACAGACGGAGCGATAGAGAACCAACGATAATCCGGAAAGAGGGGAAACGGGGGAAAGACAGTGAGAGAGAGGGAGCGAGAGAGAGAGAGCACAAGCGAGACCGAAGGGATGGGGGATGTTAGGGATTTAAGATGTAGCTGCTTCCAAACGTTTATGTTCAGCTTGGGGAGAACTACGGTGGCTTCTGTCACAGCCTTCGCACTCCAGCAGCCGGTAGAAGGCAGAAGGTCGCACCCGAGGTCGCTCCTTCGATTCTGAAACATTCCCGCAACCTTGCTGCACAAGATCCAAGTTCTAGAAATGTAGCGATGCTCATGTTTACTGTCGAAGCACCTCGGCTTTTCGTCGGGAGCAGAGCAGAACAAGTTTTCCCGTCCTCTTCCACGGCATCCACATCTGCTGGCAGATCCTCCTGCGTGTCCACTCAGACTCACCACAATCCCGGAAAGTTCCGGTGAGAATCTTGAGATGATCCTGGCCTCTCCACGCGCTGACATCACACGCCTCAAGCTGTTGACCTCAAGCACAAAGAAGGGAAAAGGCGGCACTATGGTGGCAAAGCTGGTGACCTTCTGCTGAGTGAACTGCCAGATCCACCGAGTGCGTGTACCGGCGGTGCTTTCGACTGCCAGGTCTGCCTCCGAGCTTCCACATCAACGGGTACCCTAAGCAACCCCACCCCCCAGACTGCCGCGATGCACCGGAGCACGAACGAGTAAAGCCTGCCTTCTTTCGATCGGCTGCGCAAGGAATCACGCTCCTCAGCGCTATGGACTGCAAAACAAGGGAAAACCGCAGCAACTGGCGAAAAAAGAGGGCGGTGCATGCTTGCGGCGCTCGTTGCTGCTAAACCGCCAGAATGAGAAGGGGAATGCTGCTCCTGCACCATGACACCGTGACATGCAGCCGGCAGAGTTGCCGACGCTGCCATCATTGCACATCTGCTTGCAATCGTGAGCCTGCTCGGGGCATAGGCGCCCTCTGAGGCACATGAGACCTTATTTTCACAGAAACGGCGACAACCAGCACCTCTCAGAATGCTGCTAAAATGATGGCACAAGCCAGTAGTCGAGATATGTCGAGATTCAAGCACAGCTGGAACCATGCCGCCAACACTGGTCTCGGGCAAAGAGGTTAAGCTCCTAAGGGCAGCTGGCCGTTGGATTCATACGTGTCCAGGTGCATACCACGGAGACGGATGCTATGGGCCATTTAAGTAGTGCTGACGTCCTGTCATCCGGAGCTCGTGTGCTCGAGTCGTCATGGACGTCGCTGAACATGTCCTTTCAAGGAGTGGATACTTTCGTCGTGAGCTCTAGTGGCAGTCAAGATGTCAAACGTCGGTGGGCGCAGCAGTCCTCGAAGTAAAAAACCAGTCGTACACTCTACACCACACACACAACACAGCCACCCGACCCCACCCAGTGTCAGGCCCCCTCAGATTGAGCCAGTTGCAGCGACTGCATCTTGCCACAGCGCACATAGCACCACCGGAAATCTTGCCAGCGAAGCAAGTCTGTCCAAAGACTCTAAGCAGAGTGACAATTTGGCGGTGATAACAATGCTAATATTGACAAAGAGCACGTCCATCCCCAAGCAAAATAGGCTCCAAAACAAGAACGCCGACCTTGAACTGCTGAAATACAACTGCAACTCCCCTTTTGCCTCAGAAGTGCACACCCGCTTCCAATCTTCGGCTCATCTCCTATTCAGTCACAGCCAATGCGACGACTTCGCAGAATCAACCGACCACGGCACTCCGACCCTCCAACACCCCTAGCCCCACCTTTAGAAAGGACTGGAACCTTGCGTCAATCCGTGGACGGGCGCGCGTTGAGTGAGACCGAGCCGGACTTTCTTTGCGGTTGCCACGGCGACCTCTCCAGCAGAGGAGCTTGAATGTAGGGTACTCTGTCCCTAGCAGCATACTTGAGAGGCTGCACAGCGCTGAGCGACTTTCTTCCCCGGCACACACTTCAAACAATCCCACAGCCAAACCACACCCTGCTTCGGACTGGCACCCTGAACAGCCATACTTCGATGCGGTCACCAGAGCAACAGAGGCATGTCCGGCACCTGCATCGGCTGCATCCGGGGTCTTGGAAGAGAAGCCCGGCCTCTGCCTCTGCTTCAGGACTGAAATTGTCTGGGTCAAGTGTATGGAGTTGGGTGTGTGTGTGTGTGTGTGTGTGTGTGTGTGTGTGTGTGTGTGTGTGTGTGTGTGTGTGTGTGTGTGTTTTTAGCACGGCTCTTCATTCTACCGAATTTCTGTGTCTGTGGAACACCTTTATCACTCTTCAGAGGAGACACGGCTACGGCAATGGCCTTCAGGCACTTTTCGTACACTCATTAGAAAGTAGGCGTGCTGCAAGTATTTCCCCGCACCTCTGCAGGCAGCACTCATAGCCGCCTGTGCAAAAAGCCAGGGCAAGCTTTGACCCTCTCACATCAATGGAGTGTACTGAACTCAGAGATAAGAAGCTGGGGCAAACCCTTGCCCTCAAGTCCGCTGAAAGAAAAAAGAGAGAGCGCAAGAGGGGGCTAGGGAAGAGAGAAGAGTGAGGAGAATCGTGAGAGAAAGGTGTAAACTCCCCTTCTCTCCTATGTTCTGGTCTTCCCAGAGAAACAGAAAAGGATAGAAAAGGGTAGCCAAGAGACCCTTTTTCCCAGCTCACTAAAACACTTGAAACACTGGATGATCAAGTTGAGGGTTTCCAAAGGACGCCAAACTAGCGAAAATCACTATGTTTTGGCCTTTAGGGGATTTCTTGAAGGCACAAGTGGTTAAAAATCGCACCAAACGGCCATCTGAGAGTTCCCCCAATGCCTTTCGCACCGACGTTGTGGACAACCAGCGTGCGTTGACCAGTCCCAATGTTGACCATACCCCCAATGCCTTTCGGACCGACGTTGTGGACAACAAGAGTGCGCTAGGTAAGCGTCCCCAAGAGGATCTCAGCAAAGGCCATCGAAGGCCAATCAAAACTACCGTCCAAAACAACCACGCGCGCCGGCAGGGGTAGGGGGGCGGGGGCGGGTGACCTTATTCTCGATCCATTTTGGGGCTCCAACAAAGGTGAATGAGGCAGTAAAGCCAAAGTGACTGCTAAACTCCGTGCCCTCGGAAGAGCCAAACGAAGCTCGTGCAGACAGCTTGGGGGTTTTAAGACCTGACAAAAAAATCGAGCCAAACCCTTCAGCCCTCTCAGGCCTCACATACCTCAGCCACACCTGCACAGGCCCCCTTAAGCTTTCCACCCCCCCCCCCAGGGCCCCCCAATCGAAGCTGCCACCCCCCCCTCCGGCCGCAGCAGCCGCCACACTCCGCAGCGCCGTCTCGGCCCGAGTGGCCAGGCGCGCAAGGCCTCTCATAACAACTTTGAGTACGAACGGCTGGTTGCCGCTTCCAAGATCATGCGGGGAGGGGGAGGAGGAGGGGTTTGGGGTTGTTTGGGGTTGTTTGGGAGGGCCCTTTCATGCTCTTTCCTTCACGCGAGTGTTCGACTGCTGGGACTCATTTCGAGCCTCGAGCTCCTGAAGATACCCTCAAGGCCCCGGCGCTCCGGTCGCTCATCTACGCGAGAAACTTGTCTGGCCTTGCAAATGAAGGCCCTACTTCCCACATGAATAATGAAGGCCCTACTTCCCTCAGGTTAGGACCTTCTAGGATCTTTGCCGTAGCAAGTTGCCTAGCGTGCCAGGCTCTGGGTGTCCTGCCTCCCAGTAGCTCCTCTTGGCTGCAAGCTCCGCCTCCGCCTGCCCCCGCAAACCCTGAAAGGACGAAGAAAGAACTCCGGGGGAGCCTTTGTGAGTCTCTGTAGAGCAGCTTGTGAACATCCGGTGTCCCGTAAGACACTGGGAGTGCCACGTAGGCACGAGTTAGGCCTGCTTTGACACAGATTGGCAAGGGTGCCTTCTCCTTGGAGAGGCGCCAGATGCGGCCTTTTTGGTGCCTGGCCTCCTCCACACACCCGCAGCATCCCGGAGCTGCTCAAACTCTCAGTGAAGAGGGTTTAGGGTTTAGGGCTTAGGGTTGGGTTTAGGGTTCAGGGTTTAGGGCTTAGGGTTTAGGGTTTAGGGTTTAGGGTTTAGGGTTTAGGGTGAGTGCAGATGGGCGGGAGGAGTACACTCAGCCGTCCTGCGACCAGTCGAGCCAGAACTGGCTGACATGCTGGGGTCCGGCTTCTCGTACATCGACCACCTCAGCAACTCTCAGCAACTTGAAAAAAGAATTCTGGGAAAGGCTTCTGCAATGCTTCTGCACGACTTCTGCCCACATGCTAGTGATAGAAATGGTGTGTTCCATGAAAGGAAGAAGGACCTGGCCTCCCGCCGAAGCAAGATGGCCTTGCGCAAAAAACAAAGGCCAGGGGCTTGTTACACGTCGTGGTCGCGGAGTGCGCTCATCGTGGAAGAGCTGCCTCCTCCACTGACTCCACCGTCTTGCTGTGGAGGCGGTGGCCCCCAGTGCAGCAGCGCGCATCAAGGACAGCCTTCACGAGGACTCAAGAGCATCATGCGGGGGGAGGCCGGGCCAACAAAGCAGCTTGCGGGCCTGGTAGGAGAGGCCGAGGCCGCCCTGGCGACTGCACCATCACACATTTAGGGTTTAGGGTTTGGTAATTTAGGGTTTAGGGTTTGGGGTTTCGGGTTTAGGGTTTAATTGCCCTCCAACAAGCAGAAGACCAAGGTGCCGACATCGGAGGCCTGGTTGGACAAGCCTGCCAGTTGCGGATACTCGCGCCAAGCATGGAGTCAAGCCAGTGCCGGGCCTGCGGCATCCACTGCCCGCAAGACGGCTTCGGGGTCGTCTCCTCCACACACACAGACAATCAGAAAGTCTGCTACAAAGCCCTTCGTCACAAACCATCAGAAAGATTATCTGCTACAAAGATAGCAACGTATTGGTAACATTCAGCGCCCCTGGAGCCCTCCAGCCTGCAGTGGCCGCACGCTCGGCTGCAGCCACCAGTGCTGCCCGTGCCTGCACTGCGGCAGCACGGCTTGGCAAGCGGCTGGACCTGCACATTAGCCGCTATGATCCGCCATGCAGTCACGTGCGCGAGCTCTGTGGACTTCACGTCTCACAACAAGGCGCGGGCGCGATCGCCACACCGAAAACAGTCAGTCGCACCTGGCCAAGACACAGGTCACCGCCATGCACATAAGATCAGCTTTGGCAACGTCTCTGCACCCTGTGGTAGCATCCGGCGGCGGTTCTCACCTGGCAAGATGATGGGCGGCTCGGGACAGGACCACGTGAACCCTAGGTGGACGAGGCCCGGACGCACCAGATGTTGCCACGGAGCCGTTTGCCCTCAGCTTGCGCTACATTTCGCTACCACTGCCTTTTGCTGTCTCATTGCCTTGGCATGGGTCTTGTGGTGGCAGCCGGTTCTTTTTCCAGCGAGCGTGGCGTTCACTGGTGCTGGGGCTGCTGGGGTCTGCTCTTCCCCGCCTGCAAGACATGCTCTCAGACAGCAGCTTTTCAGAAAACACGGGGCTTCTGATGGCTTCTGCAGGCTGCAGCATTAACAGGTTTGGGCTCCTATTCTGATCTACAGAACCCGCGGGAGCACGTGTGTTTCACCTGTGTCTTTGCACAGGCAATCTTGCAGTTAAGAGCTGAGTCCGGCATGAGCTATGAATGGTCTGTGATCTGCTTCACCGCTTTCACCGCCGTGCTAGACTCGCAGAAACGGAAGCGAAATCAAGTGGATCGTGCTCATTCGCAGCTGATGGACAGGATAGCACAGCTTGGTTGATACGCTATCAAGGCCACGGCTTTGCATTGCAAGGGTCTTATTTACAGCTTAGGTTAAGAGTGCGACGCTGCCTGCAGCCGCTCCAGCTGGCTTCGTGCCTCGGACTTTGGGAAGTTCCTGTGCCACAGCTCCAGCGTCCAGTCGGGAAAATTCTCAAAAAAATGGTGGACGACATGTCTCTCTTCAACATCGCAGCGCGTCTTAAGACACAATTCCGTGTCCTCATCCACTTCCAGGATTCAAGAATCCAGAACCCTGAAACACCGAGTCCTGACATCGTAGTAGCTCGGTGCGATCTCCAGCAGCCACTCGCCTCTCACCTGAACAAAGTTGCTCCCCCCCATGGTTGCACAGGTCTCCTAATGTAATGCACCTGCATGTCACTGTAATGTATGCCAGCAGCACATGATGTGCAACAGAGGTGTGCCCCTATGTACATGTATGTACATGTCAGCTATACGCGGATGAATCTCATACACGCAGTCGTCAAACTGAAAAATCACGCCACCCCGCCGCAACCCACCCTCCTCCCCTTCCCACTCTCCCACCCTCCCCCCCACCACATTCCTGGACCTCCAGAAGTTTCTGAATCTTGGCTGTGCCCCTCAGAACACTGGTGCGCAGTCCACTTTGCATTGCCAGTGCTTGTCAAAGGCTTACGACTGCTCTATTTGTTCAGGTGTTGACCCTCCACTCAATTCAGCTTTGACTTGCCTGCCTGCGTCACGGTCCGGATGAAATTCTTGGATGTCAGCACGAACTCGTGATACAAGACCTGATCTGGCACGCCTACCAAAACGAGCCGCCAGTCATCAGCACATTGATCTGAGGGTTGCAAGTTGCATTGCACCTGCAGTGTGAACCTTTTGGTCTCCGAGGCACCCATTCTGGCTTGTGTGTAATGCCCGTGGAAGGATGCAGAGCCACCACTTGGTTGTCTCTGACCTTGCGCCACACATGCTACCATTCATGAGCCACCCATCCACGCCAAGAAAGCCCGGAACTGCTGCGAAGGTGCAGTCAGGTAGTGGCCGCTCTTCTCAAGGTGGGCAACCTGCATGAAGTAGCCGGCCACCAAGCAGCGTCCTCAGCGCAACGAGGCCTGGCCTCACAGAGTGGATGAACGGAACGTGTCTTTTGCGATGAAGCAGCTGATGTTGGGATAGTATTCCTGCAAGTCTGCACGTCTCGATGCAGAGACAGTGACAACACATCTTGCAAAGAGCAATAGAGCTCGAAGTCCTTGTCCCTAAAGTCCGTGCTAAGCATCGGCCTGGTGGCACACTTCACAGCACTTTGTGAGCTGGCCCAAGCGACAGAGATTTAAACAAAAATGAAAACCTCTGAGGGCTCCGCAGATTCAAGCGCTCCATGGTTCGCTTGAGCTGCTCGCGCACGTTCTCTGCAGACTTCATCGACCTGCGCTTGGAGGCAGAGACAACCGAGGAGCCAGGGAACCGGGCCACGCAACTCGACGAACCTGGCGTTGATGAAGTTGTCGTAGCAGAACTGTGCAGGGTCCGCCCCCTCCGTGATATACTGCTTGTACCTTGCAGTGCACGCACTCGTGCATGACCCGGCTCAAAAATCAACAGGAAAGCAAGTTTTTTGCCTGCAAAGTCACGCATGGAACACGTTGAGGAGGGTGAGGTGGTCCCCATCCAGGTGTGTGAAGCGGCCCTTCGCATCGTCGGCTTCCTGCCAGCAACAGGACCAGCTCACAACGTTGCGAAGTCAAAAGATACGACATCCGAGAGAGAGAGAGAGAGACGAAGTCAGGGCAAGATGAACCCGAAACCCTAAACCCTAAACTCTAAACCCTAAACCCTAAAACTCTAAACCCTTAAGCCTAAACCCTAAAGAGGGGGTCCAATCTGAGCAAAGCTGCTTTGCCGAACTCCTTCGGTCTGACAAAGACGTTCGGCACCGAAAGCATCGCAGAGATGGAGAGCATCTCGTTGCTGCACTTAAACTTGGGCCTGGGCTTCATGTCATTAGGGTTTAGGGTTCAGGGTTCAGGGTTCAGGGTTTAGGGTTCAGGGTTTAGGGTTGAGGGTTTAGGGTTGAGGGTTGAGGGTTTCGGGTTCCGGGTTTAGGGTTTAGGGTCTAGGGTTTAGGGTTTAGGGTTTAGGGTTTAGGGTTTAGGCTTTAGGGTTTAGGGTTTAGGGTTTAGGGCAGGGCTTAGGGTTTAGGGTTTAGGGTTTCGGGTTTCGGGTTTCGGGTTTAGGGTTTAGGGTTTAGGGTTTAGGGTTTAGGGTTTAGGGTTTAGGGTTTAGGGCCTGGGCTGCATGACACCACAATGCTCGAGATGCGACTGAGGATACTTGCAGCGCCGAACACACTGAGGCGTCGGCGAGTCGATGAGCATCTTTGCCTATGTGCTCAAGCACACAACGCGCGAGTCAGGGCCAGCAATCAGACACGCAGGCAATTCAACAGTGCTTCGCCGGGTTTAGGGTTCAGCTTTCGATTGCTGGGGCTTGCGAAACTTCAACTTCAAAGCCCCGGGAAATCAGCCGACACCGCAATCGCCAAACGGCTGTTTCAAAATGGGGTGCCCTTCCTTGGGTTCCTCTCTGTAGGGAAGTCTGTTATACGTATGTAATAACATGATTGTTTAAAACATATGTACATATACATACATAAATGCATACATACATACATACATACATACACACATACACACATACATACACACACACACACACATATATATATATATACAGGTACACGCACATGCAAGATTTTAGTGGAAGTCACCCACACGGGGCCTGAAATCAGAACAGCTTCGTACATAAAGAGCTTCCTCACCCTAAACCCTAAACCCTAAACCTCAACCCCTCAGCCCCCTAAAATAAACCACAAACCAAAAAAAGACAAGGCCAAAGGCACCAGCTGCGGATCCAGCGGGAATTCAGCAGCCTGATCTCCAGCATCGGTCAGATCCCCATCCTGACTTTTGGGGAGCTTCATCGGCTGAGCAGAATGAAGGTTTAGGGAGGGGATTGCTCTGCGCCTTCGTACTGTATTGTTTGAAAGGGTTAGGGGCTAAGGCTCTAGGGTGCGCGGCTGAGAATGGCCTGCCATATAAATGCCCATCACCCAACGAATCCCATGGATGCCAGATGCTCCTGTGGTAGGATGGGGGAACAACCATCTACAAGCCTGAAACCAGAGTCCAAAGTTCAAATGCCCGGAACCCATGCAGTCTAGGAGGCATCGTTGAGATGATTCAGGAAGTTCAGCATCTCCAGCGCTCGCCTTAGCAACCAGTTGAGAACGTCTGAGCTTCAGCTGTACAGCTTCAACTTCAGAGGGAGGCTAAACGAGACATGTCGTACCTTTCAACACAAGCTTAGGCCTCTGGGCCACACACACACACACAGACACACCTCGTTGATTCCTTTGTCGTGCCCCGTGTGCATGTGTGTGTGTGTGTTGCGTCCGAGGAGCATCATGGTTTCTGGCGCCGGGGGATCGAGGAAGTCAAAGTGGACCAAGTCATCGATGCCCAGTTTCTTGAGGGTTAGCACCTCACGAACGATGCTCGACCCCAGGCCAGAATTTTGCACGGACCGGCCGAGCCACGACCACACCCAGATTGGACCGCAGGATCTCGGGGTAGGTTTGCTCGGCAAGCTCGGTGGTGAAAGCCTTCGGAGGGGCTTGCACCAACGTGGGCAAAATAGATCCATGTGGTGCTCCATTCTTGCCGGCCTTCTCTGTGTAGAGACCTCAATTGGTTCTCAATGGTTCTCACAACGCCACCACCAGCTACCCGAGACCTTCCTGCCGTCACGAGACGAGCCTAAATTTTGGGAGGAGCCAAGTCGAGCCGCTTGCTGACAGACATTTGCTACTCATCGAACCACATGCAAGACATCACTGTTACTCAACATATACTTCCGAAGGCCCGGGAGTACGATTTGTTACGAGTAAGAGTGGGCCAGAAAAAGCCACCAAGAGTCGGGAGTAGGATTTGTTGCGGATAAGAGTGAGCCAGAAAGAGCCGCCAAGAGCCGGGAGCACCATTTGTTACGGAGAAGAGTGGGCCAGAAAGAGCCACCAAGACGCGGGAGTATGACCTCATTCTCAAAAAAAAATAGTGGTCGGATCGCACCAAGTTTTAGCACCACAAGCTCCTCGCTAGAATCTGGTGCGATCCGACCGCCCCCTTTAACAGCCAAACAAAAAAACTAAGGCGGACACTGCTTGCGATTTGCGATTTTGGAACGTATTCGTTCAGCAAAAGAAGACACTGCTTGCGATTTGCGATTTTGGAACCTATTCATTTAGCAAAAAACTAAGGGTGACACTGCTTGCGATTTGCGATTTGCGATTTTGAAATGTATTCCTTCAGCAAAAAAACGAAGGCGGACAGGGTATTTAAATCATCTTCAATAATTCAATGACAACTCGCAAGCAGTGTCCCCCTTACGTTTTTGGAAAATTGAGCTTCCAAACTGACAAATCGCAAGCAGAGTCCCCCTTAAGCTTTTGGAAAACTGAGCTACCAAAATGACAACTGGCAAGCAGTGTCCCCTGAAGCTTTTGGAAGACTGAGCTCCCAAAATGACAAATCGCAAGCAGTGTCCCCCTGACGTTTTTGAGAAACTGAGCTCCCAAAATGACAAATCGCAAGCAGTGTGCCCCCTTAAGTTTTTATGGGAAACTGAGCTCCCAAAATGACAAATCGCAAGCAGTGTCCCCCTTGAGTTTTCTGCAAAACTGAGCTCCCAAAATGACAAATCGCAAGCAGTGTCCCCCTTGAGTTTTCTGCAAAACTGAGCTCCCAGAATGACAAATCGCAAGCAGTGTCCCCCCTTAAGTTTTTTTGCAAAACTAAGCTCCCAAAATGACAAAAAGGAACCACACATTCGTACCGAAGCACGGAAGCACTTGCCAGGGCGAGTCCGCCCGGCTCGTCCGGCCCGCTGCGCCGCAGATGCCTGTCCGCGATCACAGATGCTAGCACTATGCCAATGGTAGTATAGGGTCTAGGGTTTAGGGTTTAGGGCGGAATAAAAAAAAAAACAAGCCTTGACAAACTGTACTTGACGCCCTGCCTTTGACACAGGAGAAACCAGGAGTGACTCCACGCGAATTCGCGGATTGTACACCTGACAAGAGCTGCTGGCATCATCCCACGACTTCATCACGCGCTGGGATCTTGCTCACTCCTTGCGAAAATGGTGCTTCAAGCCTTCTGCTTTGCGAAGCCGGGGTCCACGACGTAAACGATTCCGTCGATAGTGATGGAAGTCTCGGCGATGTTAGTCGCCACGACAACTTTCCTGCAATTGAGATTGAGACGTGGCCAGCCACATGCGCTGCAGAAGCTGACCTCAACCGAAAGAGTTGCCGTGAAGTTAGCCTACGAACAGCCTTCCGCAACACGAACGGCTTCGACCCTTCGAATGAGACAGACACATGTCAAAGAAATCCGTGGCCTGCCGGGAGGGCCTCCAGGGAAGCGTGGCCCCGGGGGAGGCTCAAAGATCCGCTGCTGCTGCAGCGGTGGAAGGGAGGAGTAGAGGGGCACCGCCACCTCAGCCAAGGCTTCTCAAGATGTCTTTTTTATGCAGGGGGACTGCTGTGGCACTGCCTCTGAGTGCCAACGGAAGGAGCCCAGAATTGTCCCAGCCCCAAACCCAGATGTTCAGCCACCGGGCCAGCTCACCATTCTCGGGAAACCGGGAGCTCTCCTTGCGCAGCTGACCTCACTTCGGATGCTGAAGTCTGACGACGGTGGACTATGGTAGACTCGTAAACTCAGCCAGTGCAAGCCCAGGTGCGACAAGCCTGCTCGATCTCCTCTTCCCCTGTAAGGAAGAGCAGGATATCTCCCTCAGGCTCCGAGTTGTGGATCCTCGGGCAGGACTTGAGGGTCATTCTGAACCCTCGCTTCTTGTCTGATTGGAGACGAATCACACTTGTAACATGCCACTACTTGCAACCGGATCGCTGCACCACCGTTCGCATGGCCGCTTCCAGGTAGTCCTTGGTGCAACGCGTTTGCCACGGATCGCCCTCACTTGCCAGGCGATGGCCACGGGACTTCACGGAACTAAAGCAGAGAATGGCTCTCAAGTTGCTCAGATTCGGGCTCTCTCCGGCTCAGAGGTGTAGAAGATTTCCACAGGATGCGTGCGGCCAGGGATGTTGAGCAAGGGCGCGTTGTCCTAGGACACCGGGCGGTGGGAGCCGGCTTTCACAACGGAAGGACTGCTCAAGGTGCTGGCGAAATATCCCTGCATCTTCTGCGCATCCATGGTTGCAGACCTCAGCAATCAATCATGATCCCTACTCAAGCATACCGTCACGCAGGGAGAACAACCAAATGCAGTGCCAACAGAACTGCAGATCTTGATAGGGGACATAACGACCAGCTTGAGATCTGGTCTTCGCCTCATCACCTCCTTGATCAACCCGAACAGAACCTCAGCACAAAGCTCTGGAAGAAGGATAGGCATCATGCTCCGGCACTCAGAAAGAGTATTCCAGTGAGCGTCGTCTGTTGCCAGAGTTCGCTCGTGAGCTTCATCCAGAATGATCACGCTGTACTTGGTCAACAAGGGATCTGTCATTGCTTCTCTCCTCGGGGACGGATCGGAAGTCCTACACCTCCCTAAACCCTAAACCCTAAACCCTAAAACCGGGCAATTCGGGGAAAACAGCGGCTCAGTGATGAGATACTTTCTTGGCCGAGGTGCAGGAGCATGCCATCCTTGCAAAGAAGTGAGAGGCGCACCCCGAATAGTTGGACGCATGTCACCCTCGGCATGTTTTCGCCAAGCTTCCGTCAGAAACTTGAGGATCGTCTCCGGGGAAGTTTTGTCCTGTGGGAGAGACAAAGGTCGAGACAAGGTGAGAGACGTACCCCGCAAGCCCAGCAGACCCATCCAAAACAAAGGGAAACTAAGGGAGACGAGCGGAGGCACAAGCCCTCAAAACAAAACCAGCGAAACGAAGACCTGGTGAGCGGGGCTTGGCCGGGCCTTCACAAGCATCCCTTGCACGTCCAAATTTTGTGCCCGCCTTGACAGCCACGTCTACCCACCCGCGTTGAAAGCCCTCATATGCGTAGCTCATCGGCTTGGCGGAAGACTCAAACCACCTTAAACAGCCTAGGGTACTGGGATGTACTGGGTATACTGGGTATATGGCAACCCTGGATTCAAAACATCAAGGGCCGACAGTCCTCGAAGCGGATGAGGTAGCCGACGTGCGCACCGAGAAAGGTATCAAGCTCGTCTGCCACTCTCTGCGCTACCTCTCGAGGACAAGAAACGAAACGACACGCAATCCCTGCTGTGCTCCTTCTCCTACCAGACAAGATAATTAGCAAAAACATACCTTGCCTAAGCAACGCCATGTCCAGTGCAGCTCAAGATGCACTCATCGCTGCCACCCTTCGAGGCTGTGTGCAGGCAATGCCTGCAGGAGGCTTTAGGACCTAAGCGCCTGCCATCATCATCCGATGAACCTCCCAGTCTGCGCGCTCGATGCAACCTGAGCTGCCTTTGGCCTTTTCTCCAGCCATGTGGTAGCCAGCCTCACAGGGGCAGATCACTCAAAAAAAAGGAGATCTAACAAGGAGAGCTCACTGAAACCAGAGGTGTGTGTCCATTCTTACAGCCCGACACACCTCGAGGAGAAACTGCGGCAGCTGGGTGGTCTTTCCAGAACCAGTCTCCCCCACAAGCACGACTGTCTGGTTGCGCTTGATAAGCTTCAGGAACTCTTTCCTTCAATGCTCCACAACTGTATGGCAAATCGTTGTGCTGTGGCCCACAAGGTACACCAACTTCCCTCTCCTGGCTTCCCAAGCAGGGAGTTTCTGACGCTTCTCCAAGATCTCATAATATCCTTAGCACGATGCATGATTGCGCTCGTCGCTGCTTTCAGCATAATCTCGGAATACTCTCGATGTTGCCGCTTTTGATGCCGAGCTGCTGTCCGAGTACTCCCTCTCTGTCAAAGGGTTTATCTTTGTTTCGTTGGCAGTCTTCGCCTTCGGACAAGACAGTGGTCGTCCCAGCTTTAGGCTTCATTCCATTCCGAACACAGGCACTGTTTAGAAGGTCGGCAAGCAGCTCAGCCTTCTTTGCATCTGGGGTTTCGCCCGCATCTGCAGATCGTTTCTGAGCGGCTTCTTCCCCAGCAGCCATGGCAAGAGAGGGCCTACCCTCGCTCAGCCTGCATAGCAGATTTATCCATGACTCGCCCGAGTGGTGCTTGGCTCTTCTGTGTCTCTGACCGCTGCGTTGCGATCCATTGTGCTCAATGAGCTGTTGCCATTTTCCATCATAAGCTATGCTTCCCATCACCAAACCTTTGCCATGACCCTTATGCCACACGGCCATCAGTGGAACAACAAATGTCAGCTGCAGTGGCGTGACCATAAGAGAGTTCAAAGAACTATCAAACGAGCGAACACATGAAGCGAACACATGAAGCCATGCACTCATGGGCCCCCAGAGTTGACCGTGCGCGCGCACCGCGAGATTACACAGCGAAGCACTGAGCTCAGGTCCGCAGATTGGGGCCGGCTCCTCCATTGGGGCGCGCAGAGCGAGTGTAGAGCCGTCGAGGCTAAAGGTTTGGCTTCATGGCGTGGAGGCTCTTGACTTTTTTCAGGCCTTCTCCCTACGCAGGGACAAAAATGAAGCCTCCCAACCAAAGTCCTCGGTGCAACTGGGCCGATGCTCTTTCGTTGCACCTGCGAGATGAAAGAGCTGAAGAGCTGAGTCTCAGTACTTTGGCCAGTCTGTATTGGCGCCACGGCTCTGCCTCCCGAGTGGAGATGAGCTCTTGGCGCAGGCCCTGGCACGAAAAACAACATGGTGCAATCATCCAGCAAACATCAAAATAGCAGCGAGGGCGGGCCATGCATCCAATCCAAACACTCGCACCTTGCTGAGCCCCTCAATGGTCAGCCGGCGCTGACGTGGCGAAGCTTCGGCCAAGGCCTCACATCGTCAGCTAACGAAGCAGTGGCCTGGTTGTCGAAAGCAACACACAAAAGTGGTCTTCACATATTCCTGGGAACATACAGCGCGCACCTGGCAGAGCCGAAGGCTGGCTCTGGCAAGCTTCTGCCGTGCCTTTGTCACAAATCACTGGTGAATCTCTGTGGACATCTGGGTATTTGGGAGGCCCATGCCGTTTCGGCATTTCTTCGACCAGCTCGCACCTGGCAACAAGGACGCATTCCAGAGTCCTCAACAGTGCTATACTTGCAGTCACGCCTGCTGCTTGGGCTTGACACACCTAAACATGTGCCGCATCAACCATGCAACACAAGAAGGCCAACTATCGCGGAAAGGCATTGCACATTCTCGATGCCGTTTTGCATTAGAGCCCTCTCACGTCTCGTGCGGCTGAAATGGTAATCACGGAGCGTTTTCACTGTAAGCTCAACACGTAGCACTCGTGCCCGGCAAGCACTTCGACATGTCGGATTGCATCCTTGCATGCTTCAAAATTTCAAAAAATGACAAACAAGACATTGACACTGCACCTGCCCAGAATCATTGTCTTAGACTCTTAAACCAAGCATCTCTGTTTGCGCCATGGGGCGCATGTAGCCCGGGAGAGCCTGACTCAGCCCTCCCGGGCCTCGGCGTGATCGGAATTGCATGGCGTTCGCACTCACACAGCAAACGTGAGGCCGCGGCGTAGAGATACGCTGGATAGTAATAATATCGATAGCCTGTTCGGTAAGCACGACGTGACCCCACAAGCAAGCTTTAGTCCTTTTGCATAACACGTGCCGCCTTCATAGAAGAAGTCACTGCTCATTTGCGTGAGCTGGCAATCACCTTCAGTTCCAAGACATGGCATCAACGCTTCAACAATTTCGCGAATCTCTGGGCCAACTCTCAGATTGCGACTGACTTCACCAAGAACGAGCAACATGTCCAAATTGATGACGCGTTCGATGGCAAACATTGTGAGAATTCCGGCCTCATTTGCTCCACGTTTCCAACAAAGCAGCTTGCAACGAACTGCATCGCACAATGCTTTCTGTGTTCCATGAGGCTCTGGGCCACAAGCTGGCCCACGAAGCGGACCGATGCAAGACTAGTGTTGCAACTGTCGAACCGAACAGCTGCAGCCGAAGAACATGGCCCATGTCAAATGACAAGCATATAGACAGACAGACAAACAGACAGACAGACAGACCGACGGGCGGGCGGACGGACGGACGGGCAGGCAGGCAGGCAGGCGGGCGAACACACACACACACACACAGACACCCGAGCACACAGTCTCTCCGCCTTTCAAGGGCGATGTGGGCTCTTCTCAAACCACTGCAGACAAAACCAACACCAACTGTTTTCCTTGCCATTGTGTAGCAAGGCCGGTGACGAGCGACAGTCAGTCTTGTTGTGCTGAACTAACGGCCGGAAAACCCACCTAAGCTGCGCCCCGATAAGGTCATTCCTCTATGGCAACCAGGACAGCTGGAGCATGGTCTCGCATGTCTGTCGAAACTGAAAAGCCCAGCTTCTGTCGAAAAGCTCCGAGGGGGCGTGGCTTTTGCAACTTCAGTCGCAATCGATGCACGTGAGAAAGGTAAGGTCAAGCATCAACGAACGTTGCTTAAAAAGGGCCTCTTCCTCTGCTGGTGGTTTAGGGGCACCAGTTCCCAGCGGGGGTCCTCCATGATGCTTCCTAACGGCCGCGCCAGGGCATGGTCGGGCGCGGGAAGTTCATCAAGAACTTTCATCTCTACCAAGGCATCGACGAAAATTTTCTTCTTCGCTTTGCAATACAACACTCCAAAGCTTCCAATGTTCGGCCACAATCATAGGATCTGATATTCCCATTTCCAATATAAACAAACTATAGAACATATTTTAGGCTTGGGCCAATGAAGAAGGGCCCGCACAAACATAGTTTGTCCAAGAGAGTCCGGGCCGGAGCCATCCGAATTCTCTTTCTGCCTTCAACCCGTTGACCGCAAGCATCATTCAATCATACAACAGGAAATAAGGCAAACACATCATCCGCTAAGCATTTCCTAAACACACCTCAATGGCTCCTCTTTCTTTTCGCTCGTAGCGGCAAAGGGGTATGACGAAGGACTGCACATCTGGCCATCCGATCGCTGCAAAGTTTCTGCGGATGACATTTGACTCGTCTGTCTTGATGAGACCAAGGCGGGTTGCCTCATCGTCACAGGTGGGTCAGGGAACTGCCACCGTGCACCCAAGAACGCCCAACGGGGCTGTCAACATTGCGAGCGACCACTTACTTCCTGAGGCAACGCAGCCTGTAGTGCAAGGATGTCACTCTTACGCAAAACCCCTTTGCGCAACAGCCTCGACGCAAGAATTTCTGCGGCACGCCTGTAGCTGCAACAGCTTTTGTCAGCCGATCGTCATCTTTTCCTTTTCCTCCGATCGGCTCCTTGGAAATCTCACGGGTGCCCCCGGAAGAGAAAAACCCTTGATGTTGCGGAGGTGTTGCTAGGAACTTGCAAAAGGCACCTGGTGGTTCCTCCTTTTTCTGGTTTTGGAAACAAGCCACAAACAGCAGCATAAATTCTTGAACTTGGAAGTGATGACAAGAATCCGACTCGAATCCAGACGGGCAACGGAGTCGCAGTTGAAGTTTGAAGTTGAGTTGCTTTGAGTCCGGAGTCCAGAGTCTGGAGTCCGGAGTTCAGACAACACACACTGCATGACCTAACCCTAGTTGCATAAGGAAGGGGAGACCGAACCACCTAGGCCGGGGCCCCTTAAGGGTAGAGGCCTAGGGGACACAACGCTCTCCCCACACGCGCTCACTTGTTTTCACGGGTGCTGCTCTGGGCGAGTTGGCGGCATGCCGGGAGATCTCCATGCGAGAGATCCCCCGGGCATGCAGACAGGCAGAACCCCCACTTTGGGAGGAATCTAGTCATCTATGTGCGGCATAGAGTGATGGGCTACCCCACTTTGGGAGGCGGAGCGGCGGCAAAGCGGCTGGTGTGGCTATGCGTGAGGGGCTGCGTTACAGTAGGAGGCTGAGATGCTGCGAGGCGCCTCTTGCACACTCGTTCGGAGTCAGGTATGGCACGGCAGATGGAGTGTGAGAGCGGCCTGAAGGAAGTGTTTGAGCTGGGCACTGGGCGGGTGGGCGAAAAACACGATCCAAAGGGCCCCAACAACGGGTGAGGTCAGGGCCAGCTGAGCCGAGAGCCAGCTGGGCATGGGCATCAACATGTAGTCATGATTCATGTGTGTCAAAACACCTGGGATAAAACTACCCAGTGCATCCTTCGCACTCCGGACTCCGCATTCCGGGACTTCAGATTGGATTTTGGAGTCCAGTCCGAGTCAAGTCCGTCACAGCAGTAGCAGTAACAATAGTCGTAGTAGCAGTAGTAGCAGTAGCAGTAGCAGTAGCAGTAGCAGAGTAGTATTAGTAGTAGTAGTAGTAGTAGTAGTAGTAGTAGCAGTAGTAGTAGTAGTAGTAGTAGTAGAAGTAGCAGTAGCAGTAGGAGTAGTAGTAGTAGTAGAAGAAGTAATAGTAGTTAGTAGTTAATAGTTAGTAGTCAGCAGTTAGTAGTTAATAGTAAGTAGTTAGTAGTTAGTAGTTAGTAGTTCGTAGTTAGTAGTCAGTAGTTAGTAGTTAGTAGTTAGTAGTTAATAGTTAGTAGTTAATAGTTAGTAGTTAATAGTTAGTAGTCAGTAGTCAATAGTCAGTAAGTAGTCAGTAGCGAACAGTTAGTAGTTAGTAATTAGTAGTTAGTAGGTAGTAGTTAGTAGGTAGTAATTGATAGTTAGTAGTTAGTAGTTAGTAGTTAGTAGTTAGTAGTTAGTAGTTAGTAATTAGTAGTTAGTAGTTAGTAGTTAGTAGTTAATAGTAGTAGTAGTAGTAGTAGTAGTAGTAGTAGTAGTAGTAGTAGTAGTAGTAGTAGTAGTAGTATAGTAGTAGTAGTAGTAGTAGTAGTAGTAGTAGTAGTAGTAGTAGTAGTAGTAATAGTAGTAGTAGTAGTAGTAGTAGTAGTAGTAGTAGTAGTAGTGCTAGTACTAGTAGTAGTTGTAGTAGTAATAATAGTAGTAGTAGTAGTAGTAATAGTAGCAATAGTAGGTGTATTAGGGTGTATTAGTAGTAATAGTAGCAATAGTAGGTGTATCAGCAAGAGTAGTAGTAATAGTAGTAGTAGTAGTAGTAG